GTTTTGGATCTTCCCCATCAGTTTCGCCATCTCTGCATACTCCATCAGTTTCGTCTGCCATTCTTCTTTTAGTGGTACTTCTTCCTTCCTTCCATCTCTGGGCTAGGAGCATTCTCGCTGCCATTGTCGCATATATAAGAAGTCTTCATCTTCTCTTGATACCTCTTCACCTATTATACCTAACGAAAAGGCTTCTGGTTTTTTTAACAAATGTGTTTTTAACCATTTTCTTTAATTCATTATATATCATCTTCCAGAAAGCCTTTACAGTGGTACCTCAGGTTACATACGCTTCAGGTTACATACACTTCAGGTTACAGACTCCGCTAACCCAGAAATATTACCTCGGGTTAAGAACTTTGCTTCCTGGATGAGAACAGGAATCGTGCTCTGACGGCGTAGCAGCAGCAGGAGGCCCCATTAACTAAAGTGGTGCTTCAGGTTAAGAACAGTTTCAGGTTAAAAACGGACCTCCGGAACGAATTAAGTACTTAACCCGAGGTACCACTGTACCAGTGTACATGTCCACCTTGATTCCAACATAAATTTGAGCTCATTTTGTACATTTTTGCAATTTCACTCGGTGCTAAGTACCAACAACACATCATTTTCATATAGTTTTCTTTCAACGAGCAGCATGCACTAAATTTTATTTCCCCTTTCCGTAACTTTTCCCAAGATGAAAGTTGAATATTGTACCCAAAATCCCTAGCCCAATGTATCATAACTGCTTTAGCTTCTTCATCAAGGTTGGGGACATTTTCTATCCAACCAGGAAATGCCAGGGAACGAACCCAAGACCTTCCTCATGCAAAACAGATGCTCTGTGGCAGTGAGTTACACTTTCCCCTAAGGTCGCAACAGAAGCAGAACTTCTAGAAATAGAACATGCCAATTTGCACATGTCTACTTGGGGGCACGCGGGTGGCGCTGTGGGATAAACCACAGAGCCTAGGACTTGCCGATCAGAAGGTCGGCAGTTCGAATCCCCGTGACGGGGTGAGCTCCCGTTGCTCGGTCCCTGCTACTGCCAACCTAGCAGTTCGAAAGCACGTCAAAGTGCAAGTAGATAAATAGGTACCGCTCCGGCGGGAAGGTAAATGGTGTTTCCGTGCGCTGCTCTGGTTCGCCAGAAGTGGCTTAGTCATGCTGGCCACATGACCCGGAAGCTGTACGCCGGCTCCCTCGGCCAATAAAGCGAGATGAGCGCCGCAACCCCAGAGTTGGTCACGACTGGACCTAATGGTCAGGGGTCCCTTTACCTTTACTTGGGGTCAAGAGTGGTAGGAAGAGATGGCAAATTTCTGTTTTAGGCCTGTCAGAGAAGCACAGAGGAGGCAGGGCAGCATAAGGAACTTGCATTTTCTGCCTTCCGGCATCCCCGTCACATCTACAGTCACATCTTTCTCACGATATTGCTCAGTCAAAACTCAACAAAACCACATACTATTGGCTAGTACATCAGGTCAGGTTGGATAATGACTCACATGATATTCCACACCCCTCCCCCCGTTCCTACTGTAAATCATGGTACAGTGGTACCTTGGGTTACATACGCTTCAGGTTACAGACTCTGCTAACCCAGAAATATTACCTCGGGTTAAGAACTTTGCTTCAGGGTGAGAACAGAAATTGTGCTCCAGCGGCGCGGCAGCAGCAGGAGGCCCCATTAGCTAAAGTGGTGCTTCAGGTTAAGAACAGTTTCAGGTTAAGAACAGACCTCCGGAACAAATTAAGTACTTAACCCGATGTACCACTGTACATTCCATTTATTTCGGCAGTTTGTGTTTATCATAATGTAAACAACACGCCCCTTATTTTAGAAGCTTATAGGCAGTGAGAGAACTTTGGACTCTCTGCCTGATAAATGAGCATTCTTTGTTGCCATCACAGCGGACCATATTCTTCCAGGATAGGAAAGGCTCTGGACATGACAGATGCTGCCACCAAGAAGGGCTTTTGAACCAGTTGACCGCTGATGTCTCTTCCATACCTCCAAAATCCCCCTTACAACACTTCCATTAATCATGCACTCTGTCACCCAGTCGGTTACTGATGATGACTGTGCATGTTTTTTCGTTAGGTCAAAATTGCCTCATGACTTTTTTTTTGTGGCAAGCGGAAGGGGTGAAGGGAGAGCTAAAAACAGCTAGGAAAATGCAGGAGCGACAGAGAGAGAAAGAGAAAAGAGTGAGAAATGAGAGAGAGAGAGAGAGAGAGAGAGAGAGGAGCAAGAAGGAGAGGGCAAGGAAAGGAGGAAGAGGGGGCAAGTGAAAACCGAGCAACTATACTTTCACACAGTACCCAGGGGCTTGGAAAGGGAGTAGGGAATAATAATAAAAAAAGGTAAAGGACCCCTGGATTAAATCTAGTCAAAGGCGGTTATGGGGTTGCAGCGCTCATCTCACTTTCAGGCAAAGGGAACCGGCGTTTGTCCACAGACAGCTTTCTGGGTCACGTGGCCAGCATGACTAAACTACTTCTGGCGCAAAAGAACACCAGGAGCGCACGGAAACACTGTTTATCTTCCCACTGCAGTGGTATCTATTTATCTACTCCCACTTGCATGCTTTCGAAACTGCTAGGTTGGCAGGAGCCAGGTCAAAGCAACGAGAGCTCACTCCGTCGCGGGGATTCGAACCGGCAACCTTCTGATTGACAAGCCCAAGAGGCTCAGAATGCACAGTGCAACAAAGTGGGTTGACTTTAATAGTAACGGCAGATGATTTTTTTCATGGCGTGGCAGCTTAACCTGAGTATTGTTAAAGGCACAAGCACAAAGGCAGTTTTAGAAAGCTGGCAAACATTAAAAAGCTGGCAAACCTACAGGGGATCTTCCTTACCACTGATCTCTGGGAAAGATTCTCTACCACTTTAGCCCAAATAAAAATGCTTGCAGTGTAGTCCTATTAATTTGTACAGGTTGGAGTGTAAAGATGTGAATCCCCAACCCTCTAAGACAGATAAACTTCTGCTTAAAGTCAATTGATCTGAAAATTATTTCAGTTTAAGATGCACACCTTGATCATAAGGCCATGATTGGAAGAAATTAGCCCAGAACTTTTCTTACATGTTTGTGGGATAGTGGGTTGCAGTTAAAGTGCAAGCGGAACCAGGATTCACAGGGACTCCGCCCTGAAAGCTTATTTTCCAAGGTGAGAGCCTGGAAGCAAGGATGTAAAAAAGAATGCCTCTGAGCACACACAGAGTGTCTTCTCACTTCTGAGGACAGCTTTGCATATTACACAGCAGAACCACACCTTTGCCCCTCTCTCCCCTACATCCAGTGGGGAGATCTGGACAATCCTATCTCCCTAGCACATACACAAACAACCACACATACGCATACACAACGGGCAACGAATTTGGGGCACCAGTGATGATAGCAGAGAAGAGAATAGGCCTGACCCACATGGCACTTCCACTTGCACAATCCCATTGAATTGAACGGGCTTCCTGTTGCATTGTGATCTATATGAATTAATGGGAAGTTGATGCCATCAGATACTCAAATCTCTCAAGCCACAGGGATACGGGGCAGGGGGAGTAAGAACTTGGAAACTATAGTTCACCAGTCATGCGCAGATGGACGCCACACTTCTGAGATCCTCTTGGCTATTTCACACACCCCATAAAAAGGTAAAGGGACCCCTGACCATTAGGTCCAGTCATGACCGACTCTGGGGTTGCAGCGCTCATCTCTTTATTGGCCGAGGGAGCCGGCGTACAGCTTCCGGGTCATGTGGCCAGCATGACTAAGCCGCTTCTGGCGAACCAGAGCAGCGCACGGAAACGCCCTTTACCTTCCCGCTGAAGCGGTACCTATTTATCTACTTGCACTTTGACGTGCTTTCGAACTGCTAGATGGGCAGGAGCAGGGACCGAGCAACGGGAGCTCACTCCGTCTCAGGGATTCGAACCGCCGACCTTCTGATCGGCAAGTCCTAGGCTCTGTGGTTTAACCCACAGCACCACCCGCGTCTCTCACACACACCCCATACTACTGCTTTTATTGGGAAGTGAGTCCCACTTTCTTCATGGGAGCGTAATTTCAATAATTGGGTAGCAATTTCTACACAAACCAACCGCATTCTACAAATATCAGTGCAGCCATCAATCGCCCCACACTTTTCTCTGGTCAGTTGAGCCCACTCCTAGTTATGAAGCAAATATTTGGAGGGCTGGACCTTTAACACCCAGATTTACTCATGGAAAGCTCACCAGCAGCCCCCATCTTCACGCCCCCCCCCCCCCATTGATACAAAAGCAGGGAATTTGTTAAGAGCTAAGAAGAGCCTGGGGATGCGGGTGGCTCTGTGGTTTAACTTGCCAATCAGAAGGTTGGCAGTTCGAATCCCCACGATGGGGTGAGCTCCCGTTGCTTGGTCCCTGGCAGTTCAAAAGCACGTCAAAGTGCAAGTAGATAAATAGGTACCACTTCAGCGGGAAGGTAAACGGCGTTTCCGTGCGCTGCTCTGGTTCGCCAGAAGCGGCTTAGTCATGCTGGCCACATGACCCGGAAGCTGTACGCTGGCTCCCTCGGCCAATAAAGCAAGATGAGCACCGCAACCCCAGAGTCGGCCACGACTGGACCTAATGGTCAGGGGTCCCTTTAAGAAGAGCCTGAGATTAGCTCAGCAGGTACGGCGGGAGTCTGTTAATCTCAGGGTCCCGAGTTCGAGTCAAGAGATTTCAGCATCGCAGCGGGTTGGAACTCGAGGACCCTCGGGATTCCCCTTCCAACTCGACCATTCCATGATCCCTGCATTACAGTTCGTAGGATTTTGGGCAGTTAGTTAGATCTCCTGGCTTCCCCAGACAGGGCGCGCCCAGGCACATCAGCAGGAGTAGGCGCATGGGCTGAAAATCCCACGGATCCTCTCCGACTAGGGAGCGCAAAGTGGACACACCCGAGGGGCACCCGTCGCGGCAGCTCGTGGGTGGGAGACGCCGTTGAATCGGGACCTTCGACTTCCTCCCCGGGACAGCCCAGACCTTTTCCCACAAGCGCGCGCACCGGGGAAGAGGAGGAGTCCCTTTTTGCACCTGGGGATGGGCGGCAGGGAAAGGGAGGAGCCGTCGCCTCCCTCCTCCTGACCCGAGGCAGAGCAGGAAGAGGAGGGCGTCGCCACCAGATCAGCCACCCCGGAGGAGTCTCCTCCACGGTCCGGCGACCAGGGAGGAGAGAAACTACCCCCCGCTCCTTGCAGGATCGCAGGGGGCGCAGATGCGCGGAGATGGCTGCGGGTCTCTGGATCGCTTTCCTGCCTCTGGCCCAACTACTGCTGCTGGCGGCCGTGACCCTGCAGCGCGCAGGTAAGCGGCGATCGGGCGCCTGCGCCCCACGCGTGTTTTGGGTGGGGTCCGCGTAAGGTGCGCCCGGCGGATCGGAAGCGGGGAGTTCCTCCCCCCCGGGTGTTAAGGCTTATCCGAATCGCGGAGGGCGGGTTGGAGAGGTAACCGGAGAGTCCCGTGGGTAGCGCGTGGGACTCGGGGTCGTGGGTTCGAACCCCGCGTTGGCCGAAAGAGTCCTGCGTCGCGCGGGGTTGGGCTAGATGCCCATCGGGGTCCCTTCCAACTCTGCGAGTCTCCGATTCCACGGAGAATCGACGTCGCGCCAGCCTGCGCGCCTTGGCAACTTCGTGGCCTTCGCCACCCGTGAGCGCGGGACCCTGGAAAGTTTGAAAGCGAGTTGGTGGGGAGTTCTTTCGTTTCGGAGTTTTCTTTCTTTCCGTCTGAGGAAAGGGAATCGGGCTGGTCTGGAGATGGTATTGAAACTTGAAAGGAGTGCGGAGGAAGTGAACGGGCATCTCTACTTATTCGCTCTGCCAAGGAAAACTTTCATGTCTCCTTTTGGTAGTTGGCGCAGTCGAACTGCGGAACTCGCTGCCACCAGCTTGGGTGGTTTTAAAAGAGGAAAAGGCAGATCCATGGAGGACAGGCTGCATAAGTGGCTGTTAGCCTTGATGACTGTGCTTTTGCCTCCATGGTAGGAGACAGTTATGCTTCTGAATACCAGTTGCAGAGCAGAATGCTCTGGTGCTCAGGGCCTGCTTGCCAGTTTCCCATATAGGCTGGTTGGTCACTGTTGGACTGGTTGGTCACGGTGAGTACAGGTTGCAGGACTAGATGGGCCCCTGACCTGATCCTGCAGGGCTGTTCTTAAACTGCATATCCTGAAGCTGAAGTGATTGGTGGCTGCTAGTGCGTTTGTTTGCTTGTTTTAATGAAACACTGCAATATTTTTCACTTCCACTGTCGTTGCTTTTGGTATATCTGTGCTGCTTTGGGCCGACTTATTAGTGCTGCAGATGTGATTATACCACAGTTCATGGCTCAATTGGGTAGATAATGCCAAGGTTTGATCCCCCTATGGGACAGCTGCCTGTTTCTGTATTGCGGTGGGTTGGACTAGATGATCCTCAGGATCTCTTCCAACTCTACAATTCTATGATTCTATGTATATACTTCCAGTACTATCCCTGCATGTAGCAGCAAAACTGGACGCCTTTATCTGCCCCGCCTGCAGCGAAACATGTCTCTCCCATACCAGTCGCTGTATCACCGCAGGCGCCATAACTCTCCAGTGCAGTGTTTGAAACTTCCATTGTTCTAGGCGCATTTTGCGACAGGGAATTTCATTAGCACAAGCAGTTTCTGAGCTCTGGGTGCCTAAGATTTTGGATTAAAACTGCAGAATGAAAGGAAAGGAGGACTTATTTCTGCCTCCCCACTTCCAGGACTGGAAGAAGAGACCCTCTTAAGAATAATAGGGGGGTGGGCAGGGGAAGGACTGGACCATGTGAAAAATGAATTTTAGCTGCAGTTCATTCAATTTCAGCTTTGTATTCTTGTTACAAAAAAAGTGCACCTAGACATTGTTGCACCCATAACTTAGGTTTAAGGTGCCAGACAGTGCCATTATCTGGAGGTGCATGACTGGGGATTATTACTGCCTTCACACACTAATACCGCATCTTGTAGAATTCTATCAGTTATATTTTATCTGCACAATTGGAATGAATTTCAGGAACTAAAATGCTTTTTTATGTGCAGAAAAAGAGGTTGGAATAGGCCAATATATATGTGGGCTGTCCCTGGATCAAGTGACTTCTTTACGTTCTCAAAGCTCTTAATGTAGCTCAAGGTTGTCATCGGAACTAGCCAGATGTTCAAGTGATAATCAATCACAGTCAGTCCATCATTTGAAAAATAAGGCTTTTGAGCTGTCTTACGCTGTTGGTGCTGTGGTCCAAACCACTGAGCCCCTTGGGCGTGCCGATCGGAAGGTCAGCAGTTCGAATTCCCGGCGACAGGGTGAGCTCCCGTTGCTCAGTCCCAGCTCCTGCCAACCTAGCAGTTCAAAAGCACACCAAAAAGTACACGTAGATAAATAGGTACTGCTCCGGCAGGAAGGTAAACGGCGCTTTCGTGTGCTGCTCTGGTTTCGCCAGAAGCGGCTTAGTCATGCTGGCTACATGACCTGGAAAAATTGTCTGTGGACAAACGTCGGCTCCCTTGGCCAGTAAAGCGAGATGAGTGCTGCAACCCCAGAGTTGTTCGCGACTGGACTTAACTGTCAGGGGTCCTTACTCCAAAATGGCAACGTGACTTATTTTAAGGAGAGTAATCCCTTTTATGAGAGGGTGAAGCATAGAGTCCTTCTTAGTTTGTGTGGAGTGACTCCATGCTTCGATGTATCTGCATGATGGTTAAAGGTAAAGGGACCCCTGACCATTAGGTGCAGTCGTGGCCGACTCTGGGGTTGCGGCACTCATCTCGCTTTATTGGCCGAGGGTACAGCTTCTGGGTCATGTGCCCAGCATGACTAAGCCGCTTCTGGTGAACCAGAGCAGCGCATGGAAACGCCGGTTACCTTCCCGCCGGAGCGGTACCTATTTATCTACTTGCACTTTTGACATGCTTTCGAACTGCTAGGTTGGCAGGAGCAGGGACCAAGCAACGGGAGCTCACCCCGTCGCGGGGATTTGAACCGCCGACCTTCTGATCAGCAAGTCCTAGGCTCTGTGGTTCTGGTGTCAGGATATCATTCTGATGTTATTCTGCTGGCACAGTCAGGTTGTGACTGGGGACACTGTTGGTTGGCCATACTCTTCCAACAGTTTGTCAGAAAGCAGCTTTTTAAGAAGTGTTGCAACACTGACCTAGAAAGTTGTTTGATCCGATCCCAACAATTCTGGTGTTGTCTGTGTAGTAGCTTTGATGCACTCACACTCGATATTTGTGTTGTCAGAGCTTTTTCCCCAAAGCTTTAATTATACACAACTTATGCAAATGTTACCTCATTTGAGCGAGTTACTGATTTGTGAAGGTGTTCCAGACACCAACAGAAAAGTAGTACGTCCAGTTTTTGTCCCGCCACACTTAAGCATAATTTAATTCCCTGCTCCAGAATACAAGTGGTTTTTCCTTCCAAGCTCCTAAGTCTTCCTTTTTTTGTTATAAAAAAGAGCAATCTTCTTACAACATGCAGCTGATGTTACTCATTCCACTAGGCCTCCCTGAGACAAGAGAGGCAGGAAATAGCAGTTTTTAACTGGCTTCTTCTTAATGCTATATTTGCATCACTGACGGTTCGGATGCTATGCACAAAACATGATTGTTATCCTACACATTTCAAGTCAATTTTATTAGCTCATTGAGGAAATCCATATTCTTGGTCCTTTAAGAGAAGTGGAGCTTCAATAAATCCCCAAAGCCTTTTTACTGATAAGAATGGAATAGGCCCAGTTGGTTTACTGGATTTGGATGTCAACAAATCTAAACAAAGCTACTAAGCTGACCAACAAAAACCAACAAAAATTCCCTAGAAGTCTTATCTCTGAAGTTCCAATACATCCTGTCCCTGTACTATAGCGGTAGCATTACCGGTAGAAACAGGGGTGATGGTATGGAAAGGCTCTGTTCTAGAAAACAAAAAGGTGTGAATGAGTTCTATTATTTTGATCAAGGGATGGGCTGTACTGTAGGAAGATTTGTGGCTTGTAGTCAGGCAACAGCATAGCTGAATGTTGACTAAATATCACCCAGACAGCATTGGAAGATAACTCTTGAATTATTGTGCATAAAAGGAAAAAAAATTCTGAAGGATGTGACTTATCTTGCTGGAAGGTTTTGGATCTTCTCCCTAATGGTGATTAAATAAGAACATGAAATCTTGACTAGCTTACACCAAAGGTTCCACATCCGGCTTCCCATAGCTGCCTCTGGGAATCGCACAAGGAAGAAATGAAGGCTGAAGAAGAAGAAGAAGAAGAAGAAGAAGAAGAAGAAGAGTTTGGATTTGATATCCCGCTTTATCACTACCTGAAGGAGTCTCAAAGCGGCTAACATTCTCCTTTCCCTTCCTCCCCCACAATAAACACTCTGTGAGGTGAGTGGGGCTGAGAGACTTCAAAGAAGTGTGACTAGCCCAAGGTCACCCAGCAGCTGCATGTGGAGGAGCGGAGACTCGAACCCGGTCCCCCAGATTACAAATCTACCGCTCTTAACCACTACAACACACTGGCTCTCAATGTTTCTCTCCCAACAACTGGCATTCAGTGATGTTCTGTTTCCAGACCTGAAGTTTCCACGTAGCCCTCGTGGTTCTATAGCCCCAACAAACAAACCTTCCATGATTTTTGTCTAGTCCCCCTTTGGTGACCATTGTTGTGCCTTGACTTTAAAGTAAAGGCAAAGGGACCCCTGACCATTAGGTCCAGTCGTGACCGACTCTGGGGTTGTGGCGCTCATCTCGCTTTATTGGCCGAGGGAGCCAGCGTACAGCTTCCGGGTCATGTGGCCAGCATGAATAAGCCGCTTCTGGAGAACCAGAGCAGCGCACGGAAACACTGTTTAGCTTCCCTCTGGAATGATACCTATTTATCTACTTGCACTTTGATGTGCTTTCGAACTGCTAGGTGGGCAGGAGCAGGGACCGAGCAACGGGAGCTCACCCCATCGCGGGGATTCGAACCGCTGACCTTCTGATCGGCAAGTCCTAGGCTCTGTGGTTTAACCCACAGCGCCACCCACGTCCCGCCTTGACTTTACTGCTAACCAATTTCAGTGGACAACCCCCAAGCTCTAGTATTTTATGACTGGGAGAAAAACCTCTCCACATGCTTTCTCCAAGACACGCAACATTTTATACACCTCTACCCTGTCACCATTTTTCCCAGCTAATTATCCCCAAATTTCCTCATAAGGATAATTTTAGTTACCCTTTCTCCCACTTTTTCCATATCCTTTTTGAAATGGGGTGACCAAAACAACACATGGATTTGGTTTCTATAATGGGATGATGATATTAGTACTTTTATTATTATTGGGCCTTTTTCTTCTTTTCCCACACAGAATTCATTTTTTTCCACAGCTGCCACACGCAGAGTTGCCATTTTCACACAGGGGCCCACCACAGCCCAGTCGTTACCAGTTCAGACTCCATTAATGTATATGTGAAGTTGGGGTTGTTGTTTTGTCCCCATGTGCTTGTGTTGAACTGCACTTACTATTTTAATGCCAGTTCAGCCAGTTTGGAGACGTCGTTTCGGAGCTCCTTTTAATACTTTGTTTTGGTTAACACCCTGAACAATATAGTATCATCGCCACACTTGAAATATCGTGAATGAAGGTGCCTCACCCTTTTGATCGCTTTTTTCTGCACCTTTTTCCAGCCCTACAATATATTTTTTGAAAACTGGAAAACCTATTGTGGCTTTGCTATTTATTTACAAACTCAGGTCTAGAGAAATACATTATGAATCTCTTGGAGACAGCAGCAATATTTTAGAAAACAGCATTATGCATATATGTATGGATCCAGATTTGCACCGGGGGAGGGGGGAGAAGGGTATTTCAAAATCCTTTTGCCCAACCAGGGTGGATAAAAATCAATGATAAAAAAAACCCGGATTATTTTATTTAAATTGGATTTTTAAAATAAAAGGCTTTTGGAAGAAAAATCTTTCTAAAGATAGCTTTCTATTTAAGTTACATTATAGTCCAAAGGCTATTCATCAGGAAATAAGGATTTGTTTTAAGTTTTTCATGTGTGTTAAAACTCAGTCTGTTTTTGTTTTTTTTAAAGAATTGTTTAACCACATCAGTTAACAAACATGGATACATATGCTATAATGTTATTGTTTTAGTTAAATAAATTGTTTAAATTGTTATCAAGGAAATGATTATTTTTCTCCTTCTGATAAAGTACAGCAGAAAAGGTGTCCAAATATAAACAGTTAACTTATTAAACCTCACAATAATTTCATAATTATCCGTCTATGCATTTCTAATAGTATAACCAAACGAGTAATTTTTGATAGAACTGTGAAAACTACTCTGAAAATTTATTATTCCAAAGATGAAACCTTCATCTGGTTGTAAATATTACGATTATACCAGCAAGAATGAGTCTTTCTGTAAATAATAATAATAATAATAATAATAAGTCTTACTGACTAGTGATTTAAATCAATTTGATTTAAATAAAATCCACCCTGGTGCATAGCAGCCACCATTCATGTCATCATCATAATAATAATAATAATAATAATAATAATAATTTTTTATTTATACCCCGCCCTCCCCAGCCAAGGCCGGGCTCAGAGCGGCTTACAAGCAATAATAAAAACAAGATGAATGATTACAACTTAAAAACAAAAATAAAATACAACATTAAAATAATGGAACATTAAAATATTAAAATGTAGCCTCATCGCAGGAGGAGAAGGAAAAGAAAAAAGAAAGAGAGGGAGGTTTGTAAACTCAAAGCTAGACCACTGTAAAGCTCTCTACAGGGAAGTGACCTTTATAATGCTTAAACAACAACAGGAAGTTCCGATCGCCATGGCCTTACTCCAGATGTTAGATATGTCATTGGGAGTACATCCCTATGGTATCTACAGTGGTACCTCGGGTTACATACGCTTCAGGTTACAGACGCTTCAGATTACAGACTCTGTTAACCCAGAAATATTACCTCGGGTTAAGAACTTTGCCTCAGGATGAGAACAGAAATCATGCAGTGGCGGCAGCAGGAGGCCCCATTAGCTAAAGTGGTGTCTCAGGTTAAGAACAGTTTCAGGTTAAGAACAGACCTCCAGAACGAATTAAGTTCTTAACCCGAGGTACCACTATATTATTCTTGTTCCCTGTTGTTTTCTGTGTGCTTGTTTATATAGCTTGGACTCAACATTTGTTGCCATTCCTAAGACAGGAGAAGAGTTCTCTATCTTATATGTACTTAGCTATGTGCCAAGTTAGGGATGAGAAGGTCGGTGTGGAGAGGCGTTCTTGATAATGCCTCTTTAATTGCAGAATATTACATCTAGGAGGCTTCATAAAGTCTGACGGCAAGCATCTTCTTCAAGACGTGTCATCTTCAACTAGATTTTGATGACTGGTGTGAATGGTAAGGTGTACCATGCACAATTAATAAGGTTTAGTGTATTTTGTTTCAACTAGTTTGTTTTCGTTATCCACTGCAAACATTTGAGATGGGCTGAATTACAAATCAAATGAATACAGTCATACCTCGGGTTGAATGTGCTTTGGGTTGATCGCGTTCGAGTTGCGCTCCGTTACTTCCGGGTTTCGCCACTTGCACATGCGCAGACGCTCAAAATAACGTTACGCGTATGCGCAGAAGCGGCGAAAAGCGCTGCGCGCGCGCGCAGATGTGCCATCACTAGTTATGTTTGCTGCTAGATGCGAACGGGGCTCCAGAATTGATCCCGTTCGTATCTAGAGGTACCACTGTAAAAGCATTCCTTAAACTCTTGCAGAACTGGACAGCAGCTCTGTGCATTTCAGAGAACTTCCCTGGACTTACCAGCCGCTGCTCCAAATTCAAAATCATTGACATCACAAAGCTGGCTCCAAGCAGTTTATGTTTGGTGGAATTATAGATGCGGACTGACCTGGTGATATCTGAAAGTGCCCAGAGTACCGTATTTTTCGCACCATAGGGCGCACCGGACCATAGGGCGCACCCAGTTTTTAGGGGGGGAAATCAAGAAAAAAAATATTTTTCCCCCCAGCCCCAAAGAGCAGCGTACAGGCTGCGCACAACCTCTCCCTGCCGGAGGGGTTGAGCGGGGCTATGGCACAAGCCAAGGCAGCAAGCAGGATGGATCCCGCTCGCTGTTTTGGCTTCCTCTTTAGCCCCGCGCAACCTCTCCTTGCCAGGAGACGCTGCGCAGGGCTAAAGAATCCATAGCCCCGTGCAGCCTCTCCTTGCCGGAGGGGTTGCGCGCAGCTATGGAGGAAGCCAAGGCAGCGAGCGGGATGGATCCCGCTCGCTGTTTTGGCTTCCCCTTTAGCCCCGTGCAGCCTCTCCTTGCCGGGAGACGCTGCGCAGGGCTTTCCTGGCTTTACTGGGAGGTGGGGGGATTCCCTCACCTCTCCCAAAGCCCGCAGAAGCCGCACAGCCCTTTAAAGAGTCGCGGCTCTCCTGGCTCCTGGGAGTGGGATTCCCACCTCCGCAAACCGGCAGAGCCGCGCACTTTAAAGGGCTGCCCGGCCTCTCCTGGCTTTCCTTCGTGGTGGGGGAATTCCCTCACGTCTCGCAAAAGCCCGCAGAAGCCGTGCAACCCCTTTAAAGAGATCGCGGCTTCTCCTGGCTTTTCTGGGAGGTGGGAGAAGGGACTGATGCGGCCAGTCAGTCCCTTCTCCCTCCTGTGGAAAAGCCCACAAGAGCGCACGGAGCTTGTGTGCGGCTCTTGGGGGCTTTTCCCGCCTGCCTCCCCCCTGCATTCACTCCATAGGACGCACACACATTTCCCCTTGCTTTTTAGGAGGGAAAAAGTGTGTCCTATGGTGTGAAAAATACGGTACTTCCATCCTATGTAGCATATTTCATAGAATCACCAAATTGTGGAGTTGGAACAGACCCAAGTGTCATCTGGTCCAACCATTAGCTAAAGCTGGAGATGGAGATTCCACAGGTGTTTCTCTTGTGGCTTTGTCACTTTCCACCTGCTCTGCGTTGGCAGTGAAGCATGTTGCCTTTGAATGTGAACTGTTTAATACAATGGAGGCGACACCAGAAAAACCGAAACTGCCCTAAGATGTGATTAAACGTTTCAGGTGACCACCTTTAGGAAGCTCCACAGAGCTCTTTGAGTAACAGTATATTAGAAATATTCAGCTCCTTCATTCTTTTTTCCTCAAGAGTTTTAGCAGTGTAGAGGCAGTAATTGCTGTTGAATTGTTGGCTTTTACAATGGGAACATAAGGATCTGCCTTGTAACGAGACCGAGTGGCCCTGCCTTGACTTGCAGCTGCTCTCCAGGGTTTCAGAAAGAGTCTTAGCCCTGCTTTGAGATGCCAGAGCCTTTCCCGTATTTGCAACTACCCCAATAAATATTTTCCAAGTAAACCTGATGAAACAGAACCTTGGCTACTGGGAATACATGAGATGCTTATATCATAGCACCCAAAATTAACACGGCACATTCCTTTGGGTGTTGTTTACTGAATGCACAGTCAAACATGTGAAATCAGGTCCTAAAATATTTAGAACATCAGAACATTTTCTGGAAATACAGTGGACGCTTGGGTTGCGAACGTGATCTGTGCGGGATGCACGTTTGCAACCTGCAGCGTTCGCAACCCGCAGCTGCGCTTCTGTGCACCTGCGGGTTGTGATCCGGTGCTTCTGCGCATGCGCAGCCGCCAAAATCCGGAAGTAACCCGTTCTGGTACTTCCGGGTTTCAGCGGTACGTTATCCGAAAAAACGCAACCTGAAGCATCTGTAACCTGAGGTGTGACTGTACATCTGATTCAAAATTGTCTGGAGCACCAGTATTACTAATAAACTGACTGATAACAATTTCCTGGACAAGCCACATCAATGGCTACAACTTGGTGGTAATGGTATTATAATGTTTTATTATGTAGCATTAGTCATCTGCTGATAAATATTCCCAGTGTTTTGTTTGAAAGGATTTACTATTGATCACTAGCCAGGATAGAGTGACATAGAAGCATATTCAAAGTATTCAGGAAGGGACAGCTGTAGCCTGTAGCCCTGTACCCATTTACTTGCGAGGAAGCCATACTGAACTCAGTGGGACTTGCTTTTGGGTGGATTTGTATAGGAATACACCATAACTGAAGTATCAATAGTATGACGTCTTGTTTTTCGTGTGCAATGATCACTGTTTCTCCTGCTCCTCACCATCACCCCCACCCCCCTGTCTGGAGAGACAATGGAGTGCCACTCCAGGGGTGAAGTCCAGCCACTGTGTTAGTGTGACAGAAAAGTTTGTTTTGCTGGGCAGGTTGGGTCAACAAGTGCTTTATTTTTCCTTTTTCCTTACCAGCAAACAGTTATGAATGGCAGCCTCTGATTGGCCGGGGTTCCAGGAGGGGGAGTTGAAAAGGAGAGGATTTGGGGAGACAGTTGAGGAGATAGGGAGTGAGAGGAGAGAGAGTTGGTTCTGGGTAGAAACATCCACTCTGAGGAATCTATCACAAGCTAGAGAAAGGAGTCTCTGAGATTCCCAATCCAGTCAAGAATGGTGTGGAGATCCCTTGGGTCTGTTACTTGGAGCACCTCAGGGGTAGGGTTGTCAAAGGGGTGTGCAACTGACAGAAAATACCACCTTGTTTAAGAACCAAAGTATCAGGCAGTAACAACTGAGAAAGAATTGTGAAATAACTGGAAATAAGATGAGCATTTACCGTCGAGTCTAAAAACCTGTAACATCTACCTGAAGCGAAGTAGCTGAACATAAACAACTGAAGTTTAAAAGAAGCTGTGCTTGATTAGAAGTCCATAACATCAGTTAGATTTAGTATAAATATTATTAAGTGAACCTGAAATAGCATTATAATCTGAAGTATCCTTTGGTTTACCCACTTTGTGTCATAAACTTCCTTTGTTTAATAAAATCATTCTTGTTTATTTGATCAAACCCTGCCTGAGACTCCAAATCATTAAGTTTTCCCTCACACACGTCCCCCACAAGTCAAGTCAAGTCAAGTTTATTGCGGCCAAAGCCAGTGACACTAAACACCATAAGATCAGACAACAAGAAATCAGCAACAACTTCAGAAAAGAAAAAAGGTTACACAAGAGAACTTCACAGTGTGCCATTCAACAGAAGAGATTTACGCTTCTTAATTACTAAAGTGCAATATTTAGCCACCTCATATGATACTGAGCTTGAGGAATCTTCCAGGAGGTATTTTCGAAGAGTTTCAGGGGAGGATTCCAAATAATATTGAAGGGGTATAAATTTTGATAGAAGCGGTAAAATAAGTTGAACTCGTTCTTCACTATAGAATTCGCAAGATAAAAGAATGTGTGTGACAGATTCTACCTTATTAGACATACAAGGGCAGAGACGCGCCTGCATTGGAACTCGCGTGAATTTGCCGTACAGCACTGCTGAGGGCATTGTCTCAAAGCGGGCTCTAGAGAAAGCCCATCTATAGGTTTCGTTAGTGATGTTAGTTAAGTAAGGGGCAGCTGCAAAATTAGGCCAAGCTTTTATACATCTATACGTCTCTGGGAGTAGGGCGCCTTCTTGTTGTAATTCGATATCATAAAGTCTCCAGTGATAGTAGCTTTTGCCTTGTTCAGAGTTCCAATAAAAATATTTTCAGGGTTTAGGCCAATTTGTTTGATCTTGTTAGTTATTTGCATAAGCCAAGGAGGATAGGGAACTGCGGCCAGGAAGCAAGGTAATAGACCCTTAGGATTGTAATGGATTTTCAGCCAGAGGGATATTGCTTGTTCCCAGACTTTTAATTCCACTCTGGGCAGTCCTGCCTCTTGCCTTAAGACTGCATTAGGTGTACACTTAGGAGTAGCAAATAATGATCTTAAGAATTTAGATTGTACTGTTTCAAGGGTCTTAAGGTTGGCAGGGGGCTAATTTGAGAGCCATATAGAAGTTGGGCTAAAGATTTTGCCTGAAAGACTGTTAGGGCCATCGGGAGGAAGCCAGCTCCTTTCCTTCTGAATAATCTAAGGATAGCATTTGCACTTCTTTCTGCTGATATAGCTGATGTGGTCAAGTGTGTTGAGAATTTGGCATTATAAGAGAAAGTAATGCCTAAGTATTGGAAGGTCTTAGTCTGTTCAATGGCGTTTCCCTTTACGCTCCAATTATCCTTCCTAAAGGAGCGGTTAAAATGTACAATTTTGGTTTTGGCAAAATTAATTGTTAACAGTTCAGTGTTACATTGGTCACTAAACTTTCCTAAGGCACGTTTCAGCACGTCCCCCACAAGATAGTCTGTGGGAATTTGTGGATGTGGTGTTCCGTGAGGGGGGTGCCCTATATTTAAGTGAGGGCCGGCCCAACGCCGTCAGGGGAAAAGTGCCGTTGTGCCATTGCAGTTAGCAGCACCAAAGTGACCTCCATGGGGCACAAGCCCGAAGAGCATATATGGAGAAGGTCCTGGGCCTGATGTCACATTTGGCACCAGCTTGGCTGAAGAAGTCGCCAGAAGAAAGTGTACAAGGCACCATCCAACCATCTTAGGGACTCCACTCTGCATGTGTTTACTCCTTAGCCCTTTCACCTCCAGAAGACAGCCTGCAAGGCTGCTGAGGTTTAAGATCAGAGTGATTTCAGAGGCACCATTTACCCGTGTGGTCTTGCCTTGCAGATATCCAGGCATGCTGGCCACTAAAATCAGGCCTGTTCACTGGTACTGTGGGGTCTCAGGAAGAGCCACAGAGGCCTGTTCTTGTCCTGTTTTTTGGGGGGGGGGGTTAGCCTAACTGATGCCATTTTGCTTCTATAGAAAACTGCCTGCTTTAGAATTTAGGAGGGTGAGCCACAAATATTGTGAAGACCAGATAACGTTGCTGGGCGATTTTCAGGAAAACCTCCCTCTGCCAGGCAATTCTCCCCTTCAAGGTCTCCAGGCAGGGTGTCCTGTTTAGATCAGCGCAAGGAACCTCGAAAGAGGGAAAGGGAGGGGGGATACCTACAAAAAGTATGACTAAAGGTTATTTGGGGCGGCTTCACCATCACACTGGTGAGTGTGGCTTGCCCGCTCTGTTTTACTCAGCTGAATAAAGGAGTGATTCTGGGAATCTCCTCTGCCTTTGGCATTTATTGGCTTTTCAGTGACTGAGGCGGCTTGGGCCCGATTAGCAGACCCCAACAGTACCATGGACCTTACAGGAAGACCATGGGAAGAATTCACAGGAAAGTGCCTCCCTCAGCACTCTTGTAAGGCCTAAAGGGCACCTAAGCAATCTGGTCCAAGGTACACAATCTAGCAGAAATGCGTGCTTAGTTAGTCCCTTTGAAAGACAGGCTTAGCTTTGTAGCTCAATGTTTGCAGAAGCTTCATTTACCAGTGTAAACATGCGTCTTTGGACTGACTGGTTCTGCGTCCAGCTGACAACTTCCTTGTTCTTTTGTCGTGCCCTCGCTTTTGAGTGTTACGTGCTGGGTGTTGCGCAACACCAAGCAGTGCCTTGCGGAAAATATTGGAATGGTGTGTGTGTGTGTTTCATGTCTGTTATCTTGCCTCACTCTCTTGCCCTTGTTTCACTTCTCATTTCAGCCCGAGGTGTGTGTATATCTCTTTGGGACAAGTTAGACACGGTGTTAATTGTATCTTTGCATCTAGCCTGCTGATTTTTCAAAATGCAAATTGTACCAGCAGGTGTGGTAGGAAGGGTGAGAGCAGAGAGAGAGAATTTAATCCTTACTCTCCCCTGCTGTAGTCTGGAGGAAAATCCGCCTTGGGAAGGAGCTATTTGCCTTAAGGGGAAATGTCTCTTTGTGGCAAATTCTTCCCTCCCCCCCACATCAAAGGCAAATACCAGGTTCAGAAGAAGGATTTCCCCCAGGAGCACAGCAGGGAAGGGAGATTGTTTTGAAACAGAGTATTTGTAAGCTTTGTGTATTTTACAGATTTGTAAGTCACTTTCGGGGGGGGGGGGCGCTGTGGGTTAAACCACAGAGCCTAGGGCTTGCTGATCTCCGCGACGGGGTGAGCTCCTGTTGCTCAGTCCCTGCTCCTGCCAACCTAGCAGTTTGAGAGCACGTCAAAGTGCAAGTACATAAATAGGTACCGCTCTGGCGGGAAGGTAAACAGCATTTCCGTGCGCTGCTCTGGTTCGCCAGAAGCGGCTTAGTCATGCTGGCCACATGACCCGGAAGCCGTACGCCGGCTCCCTCGGCCAATAAAGCGAGATGAGCGCTGCAACCCCTAATGGTCAGGGGTCCCTTTACGTTTACCTTTAAGTCACTTTGAGACATTTCTTGCACGAGAAGCAATTTTTTAAAAAAGGGATTATTAATAATAATTAAATCCCCTTCCCGTGCCTGCTCTGATTCCATCAAATATCACACACACATATCCCAAATGCACAGGCAATACATTTTGAAAAACCTGCAGCTTAGCTGCAAAGACGTAGTTTGTCCTTTTTAATACTGATTTGTGCCAACTTTCTGTTTGCAGTGGTTTCCTTGTCACAAACCCCCCATCTAAGTATCTCTATTCTTGCTGACCTGCAGATTCTGAGCTGCTGTGAATTAGGACACACATGTCCTCATGAAGTTCTCCAGACAAGGAGATAGGGAATGTAGAGGAAAGAATGTTGTTAGTTGCTACGTTTATGTCTACATAATTCTTCCTACTTCTGAACTCCTCCTCCATGTTCATTAATTCCCAGCTGGCTTGGTGCTTTTTAGCCCTTTCTGACTGTCATGAGCACTACTGAGCGCTAGAAATCCTCAATGTAGACAGCAGCCGATGGGGTTCAGATTTGGTCAACAGGCTGCCTGTTACTTCTTAGTACCTACTGCTGCCATCATTGAGGACCGGCTACAGTTTGTAGCTCTTATTGGCAATTTGTGTATTCCTTCTCAGACACACACCTCCCAACTAGTCCTGTCTGTACCAGGCTCATACCCAAATGATAATTCGAGAGCATTTGCAGTAGTTCTGAAAATCTGCTACATATCCCCAAATAAGAGTTCCTCTGTTGTGTTGAATGCGGAATGAAAACGAGGTTTTTTTTTTATACTAGTTCATGAAGACCAAATCTCATTAGCGAGTGTGCACATACACAAGATTTCACAATATTCTTCCCACATTTGGTATTGTGGAATAAACTGTGAAAGTGATTTTGGAGTGTGGCAACCACTTCCTTTGCATTTGAAAGAAGAGCTAGACTTATTTCCAAGAACAGGTCATTCATTTGCCTGCCTCCCTCTCGTGTTTAGCAGTCTTCACACATCCACTGTTTTTGCTGGGCTTAATGTTGTACTGATACCCAAAAACTGGGGTGCACGTTTTAAAATTATTGTGCACCAAAGGCTATTCACGTTACTCTCTTCCATTCCTTTCATACTTGGCAGTAGTGGTAGAGCTTGTTCTACAAAAGTCGTGTTGTATCGCCTTGATCTCTCAATGTAAAAGCAAATTTAAAAATCTATATAAAATGGATGGGCACTGGAGGAAGGGGTTAGGTGGAAGGTGACCTCTTCACTGCTAAATCCTGTGGAGCCAAAAGTCCAGCCATCCAAAAGCCTCTCCTAAAGGTTAGATGGCTTTCTCCTGAATTGGATGAGCTCTTGTGGGAAATATGGAGAGAAATATCTCTCAAAATCAGGCAAAGGCACATCATGTGCAGAACGTCAGTGAATATTGACTATATTGATTTTCCCAATTTTCGTAATTTCATTGTTGGAGTGCCTGATTGTACAGTGGTCCCTTGGTTCTCAAACTTAATCTGTTCCGGAAGTCGGTTCCAAAGCGTTCCAAAACCAAGGTGCACTTTCCTGTAGAAAGGAATGCAAAATGGAGTAATCCATCCCAGACTTTAAAAAACAACCCCTAAAACAGCAATTTAACATGAATTTTACTATCTAGTGAGACCATTGATCCATAAAATGAAAGCAATAATCAATGTATTGTACTATAAAATAAATAAGACAGTACTGTAGATGCTAAAAATTATTTCTTTTCTTTTCTTACCTGCACTGATGATAGTTATTGTTTGGATGGGGGGCTTTTATCCATTTCCGCAGTCACACAATCAATCATTCATTCAATCAATCAATCAATCAATCAATCAGTAGCTGAACTGGGTTCCACACAGTCACAAAAGCAAATTAACCCAAAAGCCTCAAAAACAAAAACGCGAAATAAATAGCAAAAACAAAAGAGCCAAACTTAATCCGTTCTAGAAGTCCATTTGACTTCCGAAATGTTCTAAAACCAAGGCAAAGCTTCTGATTGGTGCAGGCGCCCTGGAAACAATAGCCGACAGCCACATTGGATGTTCGGCTTCCAAAAAATGTTTGAAAACGAACACCTCTGGATCTTCGGCGTTTGAGAACCAAGGTGCCACTGTACTAAAAAGGGATTTTGTGCAGCAGCCAGTTACCATCAGTATTCCCTTTTTATGGACCCAAGAGAAGAGAGACACAAAATGCCGATTCTACAGTGCCCTGCAGCTCTTATAAGCAATACTTCACATCAGTGCACACATCCCATTCTAATAATCTAATGCCTTGGGCAAAGAATTGATGTAATTTTTGAACACAACATAAATCCTACTAATTGGTTGGTCAGGGCAATTAGTAAGGGAGAATCTTGCCAAGCCAGAAGATATTGTGGCCAGTTTAAATGTAGTCCCTGTTCAAGTGTGTGCATGTGTTTAACACTGGACTTCTTATATGATTTTTCTCAAAATTCGTCGCCTGGGTGGGTCCTACCTTATATATACTAGGCATGGGTAGGCAAACTAAGGCCCGGGGGCCGGATCCGGCCCAATCGCCTTCTAAATCCGGCCTGCGGATGGTCAGGAATCAGCGTGTTTTTACATTAGCAGAATGTGTCCTTTTATTTAAAATGCATCTCTGGGTTTTTTGTGGGGCATAGTAATTCGTTCATTCCCCCCCCCCCCCCATATAGTCTGGCCCCCCACAAGGTCTGAGGGACAGTGGACCGGCCCCTTGCTGAAAAAGTTTGCTGACCCCTGTATTAGAGACCCAAGAGATCGCTTTCTGAAACCTTTGTTCTCGGAAGCTTGCAGGCACACCCCACAGAAATGGTTCAGTTTCTTTTGAGTGACAATCATAGCTTCATAACACAGAGAGTGGCTCTCTTCTCCGGCTGGAAAAAAAAATCATTAAAAAGGAGTTAAGATAAAATCGCTATAAGTTGTTTGGCTGATTTAATCGAGCTAGATTTAAGCTTTCTGCTTGCCTCTGGTACCTTATTTCTCTCACATCATGGATGTGGTATTTGGATATTATGGGTATATGTACTGTATTATTTTATTAATACTGTGGCTAGAACATATCAGGGGGTTGGACTAGATGACCCTTGGGTCCCTTCCAGCTCTACATTTCTTTGATTCCAGTGAATTTATGAACAACTTCAAAGGAACTTTATATATACCTTGTGGCGTGTTAGAGGTTTGTGATCAACTTGTGCCTGCCTAGTAAGCCATGTCTTCCTGCATAACTGAACTGTTGTGTTGTTTTTGCTGTATTGTTTGCTTTCTCCCTATCATTTCATCACAAGTCATTAACATGCCTGCTATTTCTACTGCCACTTTTTAAGACTTGTAATTCAGCCTATTAATTCTACCATCAGCTGTTCAAAACGTTATGATTTAGCTTTTGCATCATTTAAGTTCCCCTCTTGTATATTAATATAATTCTCTATTCCGTTAAGCTATCTACGTTTCTGTCACGTATTAAAGCTCTTTCCCATAGCTGGTTTTCTTATCCAGTATTATTTATTCAGAGGCTCTATCAAAGAGCATATTTCTGGAGTTCTTTCTTTCAAGTTTTGCCCAAAGGTATAAGCCTGGGAGAAACTCCTTTGTTTTTAATGTTCTATTGCTGCTCTGGGTTGGCATTATAGTTGTCGTATGTTACTGCTTTTGTGATACTTTGCTAGTTGAATATTGTTGTTAAGCCGCTGGAACTGTTTTATTCATTGGTTTGCCATTATGGATTTAGTATGGTATTGAACTATTTATTTTTTGCGTGTGTTTATACAGCTTGTCTGTTGATTCGTGTTTTATTTATTGTCAGCTGCTTTGAGCTTCTTTTCAGAAGGAAAAACAAGGTACAAATATGAATTGAAGCAGGAGAAATGACGTGAAATTCTGCTTTTTAAAACAAAATTTACATATAGTGCTGGTAGAGAGAAAATGTTCTCTTTAATTCCTCCAAGTTGTTTGGCAGTAGCACCAGGGCAGACAAAACAATTCTTTGCGCAGCACATTGTGAACTTACAAAATATGTTACCTGAAAATTCAGTGATGACTCTCTTTCCTCTGCCATTCCTCTAATTAAATTCACAGCCTCCAGCATCTTCTTAAAAACCGTATCGGTTGTATGATTCTCCTGTGTAATTTCTAAATTTGTTTGGCCCATTCACTACAAGGAATATTAAATAAGATAATTCTCACGGTACTTAATAGCCTCTGCAAATAGCTCAGTTTGGAGGCAATCTTTAAATTTCCTTGCATGTGATGTTAGCAACAGCCTGGAAGTAATTCATAGTGAGAAGACGGAATATGATAAGAAAGAAAGGAGACTGGCTGAGCAAAGCCTATTAAGGCAAGAACTGCCTGAATCGGGGCAAGGGGGGGTCTTAAATCAAAAGCAGCCGCGTCTGTCAACACCAGTTATTGCTGATGCAGGCCTGAACAAGAAGTAATGAACTTGCTGTTGCAGCAAGTTGAAATGAGCTGGGAATCTTGTACGGGGAATGATGAAGAATAAAATGAGCCATCTCTGCCTAGAGCCAGAATGCTTCTTGGCCATCCCTAAGGAGATGTGAATAAGTGGGTATGAGCCCTTCCGTGTTCCACATTTGAAGCACATAAACATCCCTCAAGGAATCCTTGGAACTGTGGTTTGTTAAGGGTGCTGGGGACTGTAGCCCCGGGAAGGGTAAACCACAGAGGTTGAATCCTGACAAGTACAGTGGTACCTCGGGTTAAGTACTTAATTCGTTCTGGAGGTCTGTTCTTAACCTGAAACTGTTCTTAACCTGAAGCACCACTTTAGCTAATGGGGCCTCCTGCTGCTGCAGTGCCGCCGGAGCACGATTTCTGTTCTCATCCTGAAGCAAAGTTCTTAACCCGAGGTACTATTTCTGGGTTAGCGGAGTCTGTAACCTGAAGCGTATGTAACCTGAAGTGTATGTAACCTGAGGTACCACTGTATTGTACTCCCACTTGGACTACTGCAATGTGCTCTATGTGGGGCTACCTTTGAAGGTGACACGGAAACTGCAGTTAATCCAGAATGTGGCAGCTAGACGGAGTGGCTGCCGAGACCACATAACTCCGGTCCTGAAAGACCTACATCGGCTCCCAGTACGTTTCTGAGCACAATTCAAAGTGTTGGTGCTGACCTTTAAAGCCCTAAATGGCCTCAGCCAGGTATACCTGAAGGAGCGTCTCCACCCCCATTGTTCAGCCCGGACACTGAGGTCCAACTCCAAGGGTCTTCTGGTGGTTCCCTCACTGCGAGAAGTGAAGTTACAGGGAACCAGGCAGAGGGCCTTCTCGACAGTGGCACCACTCTCATCAGAAGTCAAGGAAATAAACAACTATCTGACTTTTAGAAGACATCTGAAGGCAGCCCTGTTTAGGGAAGTTTTTAATGTTTGATGTTTTATTGCTTTATTATTGTTGTTGTTATTGTTGTTGTTGTTATTCTGTTGGGAGCAGCCCACAGTGGCTGGGCAAACCCAGCCAGATGGGTGGGGTATATATAATAAATTATTATTATTATTATTATTATTCCCAGCATTCTTTGGGGGAGGTGATGTGCTTTCAGTGTACACTCAGCCTGCATCGCGCGTGTGTGTGTACCTTGACGGAGCAAGAAAGCACAGTGGGAGTTGGGAGATTTTAGCTTGCCCTGCTTCACTTCATCGTCCGATGTGTCATCATGTTAGACGAGGTTTTTACACGCAAAGAATTCCCCTCCTTATGAGCAAGTTTTGCATTTCTTGTAATCCTAACAAGATACATGCAGCGAGACGCATAGGCTTAAGAAAGGAAAAAAGCAAGACATGAATCATTCCTATCACCGTGCTTGCGAACGGCACTGATAAATGAAATGTTATATATATATTTCTTTCACCATATCCTTCCTAAGCCATTTGACCCTCCTGAATGTTGAGTAAGTAATTACCTTTGCTTATGCAATGGGCCGTAATGTTTAGTGAGCGGAGATCTTTGCTTACAGTTTTCAACTGTGTTTGCCTTACTTTGGGTAGATCTTTTGGCTTTTAAAGAGGTTTTGCTCATGCGACAGTGGAACTTTTTATTCCTTTTTCCTAAACAAAAAGCAATTGCTTACTGTGCTATTTCCTGACAGAATGGTTGGCCCAAATTTATTTTGAAATCTTGCCCCCGCCTTGGACTCCACGAAGCAGTTCAGTGCGACTCCTCTGTCCAACATTAGGGTCTTCTCATAGTCTGGTGTGCCAGTACACATGTGGTTCCTTTTTGACTCTTTAAGCAACAAATGAGCAATAGTTAAAGCGGCTACAAATATGTAGTAGTACTAATAATAATAATAATAATTTATGATTGTGGCGTTCGTACGGAGCGTTCGTACGGAGCAATAGTCTCACGGACTATTGACCCATACACCACTAATCCGCTGCCACCAACCAGGTCCTCCCTGGTAAAATCACTTCAGCCTCAGTCAGCTGCTCAATTAATAAAGAAGAGTGTATTTTATTTCAGACACAAACAAACTTTTCCTGCGTTCCAAACGTTGTTACTCTTTACTTTCTTAGTCTTATTTTCCTCTCTCTATCTCTTCTACCTCCCCTCACTCAAGAACCCACTGCTCTAACCGTTTCTCTATTTCCAACTGCCTTTCCCAACCAGCCAACCCACTAAAACCAACCAACGACCCACCAACAACTCTGGACCATCTCCCACCATTTTCTTAATTTGGAGTCCCCAGAAATAGGGGACATCTTATACACGGAGGCGTGTTATACATGGAAAAATACGGTATTTAAATAGTCCAAAAAATGCCATACTTTTATTTTTTGAAGGCTTAAGACTAAAGTATTAAATAGTTAAAACACCCAGCAGGAAAATTGTATTTCCTTGGATTGGGGGAGGGTGGAATATGTACATGTATAGCTGACTATCCTTTTATCAAAGGCGTAATAGCGAAAGAATCCATTGCTCCCTAATGTATTACGGCATAAGTTTTCATAAACAATTGTCTGGTTCTTTGGATAAAGTGAACATTAATGTAGGAAAAGTTTATTCCAGTATAAATCTGCTTGTCTTGAAGTGTGTGTGGGGGGGACGACGACGACGACGACGACAGGCATCTTCGTTTGTTTTGCTGCAGCAGCCTAATATGGCTACCACTCTGGAACCAAAAACATAACCTGCATTTTTAACAATCGTTTCAGGTGCCTATGAAATCTCCCTTGAACGTCTTGACAACACATCAGTTAGGATTAAACCCGCAGCGCAAGGAAAGTGTGCACTGGTTGTAGGAGGAAACAAGTCTTATTCCGAAAGGAAAATAACCTCTCCGCAGTGGCTTCGTTTTGAGTTTGATTGTGAAACGCCGCAGAATTATTGGGAATTGGTGATTGAGAGGGACATTGGTAAGTTGCACTATGCTATCCAGTTTTTATGAGCTTCTAAAAGTAATTTGGATATTTGTCAACCTGAGCTGCATGCTGAAAGCCTAAATGACAAGGGTAAATATTATTTATCTTCTACTTGTTACAGTACCATCCTCTTTGTTGCTAATTAAGGGCTTGGGGCTGTCAACTGAACTGAAATAACTTAACTGTATAAATCATCTTCCTTTTAACTGATTATTTAGCTGTTTTTATACAGGGGTAGGGGCGTGGGTGGCGCTGTGGGTTAAACCACAGAGCCTAGGACTTGCTGATCAGAGGGTTGGCCTCGGGAGAAACCCGAATTACCACACTAGAATGTGACTGTTCACCGCTGGTTCTGCTCAGTCCTCTGCTTTTAATGCTGAGAATGTGCTTCTGACCACGTGTTCCTCCTGAGGAGCCCAGTGCTCTTTAAAAAATGTCCCATTAAGATCTAAGCAACTGTGGGCTTTTATCTGCGACACGCAAAAAGGCCTGGCCAGTAAAATCCATACATTGTCAGAGAATCAGAATTGTAGGGCTGGAAGGGACCCCGTGGCTATCTAGTCCAACCCCTCAAATGCAAGAATCACAGTTAAATCACCCTGGCAGGTGGGTGTCCATGCTCTGTTTAAAAACCTCTAGTGAAGGGGAGCCCACCAACTTCCAAGGTAGTCCATTCCAGTGTCAAACAGCTCTTGCCATCATATAATATAACATAACATAACATAACATAACATAACATAACATAACATAACATAACATATACAGTGGTGCCCCGCAAGACGAATGCCTCGCAAGACGAAATACTACCTAGACGAAAGAGTTTTCCGTTTTTTGAGTCGTTCCGCAAGACGAATTTCCCTATGGGCTTGCTTCGCAAGACGAAACGTCTTGCGAGTTTTTGCGAGTTTGTTTCCTTTTTCTTAAGGCCGCTAAGCCGTTAGTAGCCGCTAAGCCACTAATAGCCGCTAAGCCGCTAATAGCCGTGCTTCGCAAGAAGAAAAAACCGCAAGACGAAGAGACTCGCGGAACGGATTAATTTCGTCTTGCGAGGCACCACTGTAATAATATAATATAGTATTATATTATAATATAATATAATATAATATAATATAATATAATATAATATAATATAATAATATAGAGATTTGATTGATTGATATGAAGCCCATTTCAAACAAGCTGCACTTACAGCTGGAGGTTCTAATCAATTTAATTGACAGATCAATCAACTAAAAACATAGTTGATTAAACCATGGGCCAAGAGTTCTTAAGTGGACACGATGGTTTATATGAACCATTCTTGTTTTGGTTTTCTCCTGTGAAAAGCAACGGTCTGTAATTCCGCTTGCCACCTCTGGCCATGATCCATCACCCTCCGGCAAGGGTGGGTAGAGAAGCTTTAGCCTTTTCCAGCTTGGAGTGGGGGGGGGAGAGGGGGTCATCCCTGTGGCTGCATCACACTCAGATGTTGAGCTCAAATGCCGGCGAAAATAGCCAACCTGAGGCTGCCAGATGGAGGCCGGGGCAAGCTGCGATGGCACTTAGAGCATCTTGCATCCCAGCACCAAAGCAAGACCAAGCCTTCTCCTTCGGCTCCAAGAGAGAGGAGCTGAGATGCATAGCACCAAGCAAACCCATTTCTCCTCTTCCTCTTCCCCAACTGACAAATCTTGGAGAGGAGCAGTGGTGGGGGTGATTGTTACTGAACCCTATAAAAGTGCAGCAGAAAACCAGCAGAAAAAGGAAAGGGTGGGATTCTGACTTGGCAAACAGGGCCAAACAAAAACAAAAAAAGGAAGCAGCGTTTATTTTTTAATTTACGAGTTCTTTTACATTTCCCACAGTAGCTCAAAAAGCCCCTTGGTATGCGTACATTTTGGCTCCCGGACAATGGAAAACCAGAAGTGATTGTTCCGGTTTTCAAACATTCTTTGGAACCCGAATGTCTGACGCAACTTCCGTGGCTTCCGATTGGCCTCAGGAGCTCCCTGCAGCCAATCAGAAGCCTTGCCTTGGTTTCCAAACGTTTTGGAAGTCGAACGGACTTCCGGAACGGATTCCGTTTGACTTCTGAGGTACCCCTGTATAAAGGTAAAGGGACCCCTGACCATTAGGTCCAGTCGTGACTGACTCTGGGGTTGCGATGCTAATCTCACTTTATTGGCTGCGGGAGCCGGCTTACAGCTTCCGGGTCATGTGATCATGTGACCTTCTGATCGGCAAGCCCTAGGCTCTGTGATTTAACCCACAGCGCCACCCGCATCCCTACGCAGTGCCACTATAGATAGCTACTATTCATTATTTAAGCCTACCCTCTGTCAAAGTCCAACTGATCTGAGTCTGTGACATTTATTTTCCTATATGATGTGATCTCACAATAAAATATAATAGCACCTACTTCTCAAGTGAGAATGAGATCCCATCAATGAACCCGCTGCATTATTGCAGCATTAATGTCGTGCTAATAAAATACCATTTTTCATCACTTCACATTCAAAGCCTTCAACTGTCACACATTTCCCAGAAGTTCTGAACACCACAATAGTGATTTTGGTAAAGACACAACCATGGATTTCAGTCTTCAAATAATAAACTAGGCTGGGTGGTTGTTAAAGAAAAAGAAAACGTAAAAGACGTGAGTGCCTTGTTTGCTTAGAACAGGGTTTCGCAAACTTGGGTCTCCAGCTGTTTTTGGACTACAACTCCCATCATCCTTAGCTAGCAGGACCAGTGGTCCAGGATGATAGGAATTGTAGTCCAAAAACAGCTGGAGACCCAAGTTTGGGAAACCCTGGCTTAGAATGTGCATAGAGAATTACTAAAAGCTCTTAACATAAATGAAAGAGTAAAAGGATTATAATTTAACTGGATGGTCTTGTGTGATGATCATTCTTACATTATGTGTGTCTGTGTGTTTCTAGATTGTATGAGAGGACCATGTCCCTTTGGAGATGTTCTGCTTCTGCCTTCTGGGTTCCTGCCCTTTAACAAGACCTTCATATGGGACGTTAAAGCCAGAAGGTTAGATGGGCTTGAACTGAAGTTCTCTCCGTTCTTAAGACAAGTTCTGCCTGGAGAGACTTGCCCCGACCAAGTTCTTTACAACATTGGCACCCTTCTTAATACGAACAGAGTCAACATTGGAAACTTCTGTGGAAATGGTACTGTGTCACGTATCAAGGTGCAAGGGGGAGTTATTATGACCCTGAAGCTTCCATGGAACTCTAATGTCCGTGTCTCTGGCTTTAAGCTTGAAGGCAGGTCTTCCATCCAAAGTGAGTATGATTTGCTTCTGTTGTCAGCAGAAAAATTAATGATATTTTAACACACTATCTTTAAGTGTGGTTCTGTAGGCTTGCTTTCTTCTAAGTTGGTTGGAGGGGGATCTTCCTGGAGTAGGTTTCTCTCAAAGACATTTCTGGTTTTGCAGTGGGTGAGGGAGAAGGCGCTGAAGGACAGGGTTGGAAGAAGATAGCTTTTGAAGGAAAGGAGGGAGAATCCTGACCTTCATTTAGCATCCTAAGCCTACTTGCGAGCAATATGGAAGGGGCTAAATTACCGTATTTTTCGCCCTATAGAACGCACCTTTTCCCCTCCAAAAATGAAGGGGAAATCTGGGTGCGTCCTATGGGGCGAATGCAGACTTTTGAAGCTTGGAGAGCGAGAGGGGTCGGTGTGCAGCGACCCCTCTCACTCTCCAGGCTTCGGGAACACACCCGCAGCCTAGGCAGCCCTGCGGGAGTTCCCGCAGGGCTCCCTACGCTGCGGATAGCAGCCTGCCGCCCTGCGTGAGGGGCGCCCTGAACCAGAGTGCCCCACCCGCCGGGCAGACATCCGCAGTGTGTCCCCACAAGCTCGGGGGACAGCAAGGAGGCGCAGTGCCGCCATCCCGCTGTTCCTCGACCTGGTTCGGTTTCCCCTACCTGGTTTGGGGGGGGGGGAGGAAAAAAAAATTCCTTTATTTCCCCCCCAAAAAACTAGGTGCGTCCTATGGGACGGAGCGTCCTATGGGACGAAAAATACGGTAATGCGCTGGGCTGTTTCTTAAACACAAGCGTACATTTGTATATTAAATAATGTGCTAACATAACACAAGAATGGTATTACATGTATCTATGGAAGATGTAGACTAGCTAAAATCCTAAAGGCCTGTCCAGAAGAATGGATGTGGGAAGGGATGAAGGCACATGTTACTTCTCACACTTTTAAAGAGGTGGGTGACCTATATACTCAAAAAGTAACGTGAGGAGCGGCCCTGGTATATACCTATTCTGTTTCTCATAATGGAAATTACCTGTTTCTTTCATGTTGCATGTTGCAGTTCTCTTTCACAACTATATAACCTAAGGGCGAGGGTTGTTTGAAAGGGCCCTGTGACAAAATTGCTCTTCATAAAAAACAACAACTTTACCTGTGTAATGTGAGTGTGCTTTCAAACAACCTCCCTTGAACCAACTGAAAATCGTTTTACCCAAATTGATAGTGGACCAATTTTCATATATATATATATATATATATATATATATATATATATATATATATATAAAATCGTTCTCATCTGTATTGTTTCTTGACTGTGTATTGACCTATAATACTTCTGCCAAACTCCCATGGTTCACTCTGCCCACCAGACCGTACAGAATGGGTTTTTCTTGTAAGCCAAAGCTGCTTAGTCAGAATAAGTTAGCTTATACCAGCCCACATAAACATAGAGGGACCCCAGGGCCAGGTTTAGGTTTGATCAGGCCCTGAGCTACTGAAGGTAATGGGACCCTTTATATGTCCAGCTATCCTTTGTCAACAACAAATCGTTGCTGTTTTTTGTGTGTTGAATACTGTATTTTTCGCCCTATAGGACGCACTTTTTCCCCTCCAAAAATGAAGGGGAAATGTGTGTGCGTCCTATGGGGCGAATGCAGGCTCTCGCTGAAGCCTGGAGAGCGAGGGGGGGTCGGTGCGCACCGACCCCTCTCACTCTCCAGGCTTCAGGAAGCTATCCGCAAGCCGTGGGAGAGCTGCGCGGCTTCGGGCTTTTGGCTTTTGGCTTCGGGCAGCTAGCAGAGAGCTTGCCTGCACCCAGAAGCTTGGGGCGCGCTGAGCTCAGCACGCCCCAGGCTTTGGGCTTCGTGTGGCTAGCGGAGAGCTTGCCTGCACCCAGAAGCTTGGGGCGCGCTGAGCTCAGCACGCCCCTGGCTTTGGGCTTCGCGCAGCTCTCCGCTAGCCGTGGGAGAGCTGCGCGAAGTCGCGAAGCTCTCCCACGGCTTGCGGATAGCAGACTGTTCTGGGGGCTGGGGTCGGAGGAAGCTTGGGCTTCCCCCACCCCAGCCCCGCACCTGGGGGGGAAATAATTTTTTTTTATTTCCCCCCCAAAAAAAACTAGGTGCGCCCAATGGGCTGGTGCACCCTATGGGGCAAAAAATACGGTATATGCTATACAGTATGGTAATTTATGGACCTGCACAACACAAGACACAGTTGCTGTATGTGGGTTTTATTTTATTTGTTTTTTATCTTATGTTTTGGAAATGTACATCCAGTTTTTTTTCTTTAATTTTTTTGGGAGCCCCCAAGAGAGTGGGGCCTATAGCTTGTTTAGCTTATATGTAAATCCGACACTGAGGGAACCCCAAAAAACCACAGTGTCACTGTCTTCACTTGAGCCAGAATTTGCAAGCTAAGCCCTGCCCATGAGAGACTACAACACACATATCACCTTAGAAACTAAACCAGGCATAGGCAAACTCAGCCCTCCAGATGTTTTGGGACTACAATTCCCATCATCCCTGACCACTAGTCCTGTTAGCTAGGGTTCATGGGAGTTGTAGTTCCAAAACATCTGGATGGCCGAGTTTGCCTGTGCCTGAACATAAGCTCTCTTTTATGCTCATAGTGGTCATGTCTGTCTGTCTGTCTGTCTGTCTGGGTATACTTTCTCAGTCAAAGGTAATTGAAACTCTTTTTCTTGGTGGCCTAATTCTGGCACCAGCTTGGCCTTGAGTGTAGTTCTAACAAGGCAAGGGTCACTATCCTGAGGTTTCTGGTGACTGCTGGGTTGGGAAGAACGACTGCAATGCAGCCACTCTCTAGTTCAAACAAATTTATAATTTTGAGGTTCGCCAGTGATTGTATATGTTCACAAATGCTTGTCTCCCTTTGTGTTTAAAATAGGATTGTGCATTGTTGAATCCACATTTCAAACCGAAGGAGAAGCAACCTTGATATCTGCCAACTACCCGGTGGGGTTACCAGAAAACGAACTCGTGGCCTGGCAATTTGTCATTCCGTTCAACTTAAGAGCACGTATCTCTATCCTCAACTACACCACCGCAAAATGTGAACGGAACTTTCAGACAGTCGAGTACCAATTACCTGGGCAGCATCCTCAAGAGCTGACACCCAAAGAGGGGCAGTCTGTCGTTCTTGCTGGTAATTTCAACCTTTCCATGCAAGGCTGTAAGCAATATCAGCAGAATGCTGGGGCCCACAATTTGCATTTTAAAGTTTTTGTTCAGCGCCCTGAAAATGAAGAGAGTAAGTAACCAATTCCCTCTTTTCCTTTTCCTTTTCTCTTTTCTTTGGTTAATGGGTCTTTGTGTGTGTGTGTGTGTGTGTGTGTGTGTGTGTGTGTGTGTATAAAAGATAGAGAGAGACCACACACCTCTGTGCACAGCAAAACTTACTGGGGCAAAATATGCACTATGGGTTAATAATACAGGTACCCTTTTTTCTTTTGGAAAAACACCACACTATACAGTCGTACCTTGGATCTTGAACGCCTTGGCTCCCAAACAAATCGGCTCCCAAACGATCGATACCCGGAAGTGAGTGTTCGGGTTTTCAAATGATTTTCGGAAGCCGAATGTCTGGTCTGGCTTCTGATAGGCTGGAGGAGCTTCCTGCAGCCAATCAGGAGCCGCACTTTGGTTTCCGAACATTTTGGAAGTCGAACGGACTTCCAGAACGGAGTCCGTTTGACTTCCAAGGTACAACTGTACTGGAAAAGATGGCCTCAATAAATAAAAAATAAATAAATAAAAGTAAAGCATTGCTTTCTGGTAATTTCCATGCCCGTAAGTAGGAATGGAGTCAGAGCTGTACCTTATATTGGTTACGATTGGAAATTGGATTTAATAATAAATTCAGTTCCTGAATTTAGAAGGCCATTGTCGACATGACTTCCCTGTCAGAGATTAAGTTTAGACAGGGGTGTTGGACATCCATTCAGGATTTTGGGCTAACTGAAGTTTACTACGTTTGTCAGGTAATACCATTATGAAGAATAGCACGTTAAAGCAAACCTTGGGGCCGTCTCCTCTTCAGGGGTTACAATGGGATTGTTGCAAAGGAGATGGTTGCCAATGTCAGGAAACTGCTGTTGGAAGAAGGGAGAGAGAGTTAGTGGACATTTTTGTGCCTGTTGGTGGATTGAAGTCACTTAACTTTACAAAAGCACAAACTTAAAAGGAGGACCCACAATCGATGACACACTGATTGATAAAGTATTCCATTAATATGCCATGACAGTTGCTTCTATGGAGAATTCAGGTAGTTCATAGTTCTGTTCAAGAGAGGGGGTAACTTTCTTTACCTGTCCATGTAAATCAGAAATTGGTGAACAGCTTAACGGTTTCAAAACATGCCCCTAAGTAATTTAGATTCTTCTTTAGATCTTGCAAATCATGGAACAATAGCTGCACCATTTTCTTCTTTTTAAGAAAGGGACTAGGTGCTACAGTTCTTCTAAATGATCTCTGTTTTCTTGTTTTCAGACGTAACCTACAGAGTTGACCTCATGAGAGAGAGGGACTTAAATCTTACAATATTTTCGAAGCCAACACAGCCTGGAAGTTTATGCTTGATCTGTATTAATCGTAGTAAAAAATGTGAGACCAACGTGACTTTAGTATCCGGTTCCAGTTACACTATCGCCTTACTGTGTAAAAATACAGAGAATGTGAGGGTAACGGCTGTGCAGTCTAAAGGTATGAACAAAATGTCTGGAATTTAGTTCCCTTAAAGTGTGTATTTGGCGGGGAGACATCTGACAAGAATGTACTCCTATTTTTACTTGCCCTTGCAAATGCTGTTTGTTTTCGTCATCTGTCCTTTTGTTGCTCATTAGCCTTGACTAATTAGAAATAACATTTGAGTTTTTAGATGGGCAGATGGAGCTGAGGTAAATTGTCAATTGATGGGACCACCATCGTATGTTCTGCAAATTCAGATTGCAGAAAGTCTCACTTTCTTTTCAGGAGAACAAAAGTGTAGCTCAGTCTACACAGATGCCATTGCTTTTAAACTTAGTCTTCTGTCTTCATTATTTTTAAAAGCGTGGGGTTTTGACAAGGGAAGTGCTGTTATAAGTCGGGTGCCTATATAATCTTGCAGTGGGCCTTATTTTATCACACTGTTTCTTTTGTTTTATCTATCTCTTAATGAGAGCTAAAATGTTTTTCTTTAATTTTTTAAATAGAGTGAAATGCTCCTTAAACGAAACAGTATTACAGTCCTGTTATTAACTATAACCACTGTCATTTTAGTTAGATACTGCTCTTGCTGTCGATGAATGCAGGCCAGGGGGCACCATAATAAAACACAATAAATATATTCAGCAGTTGTTGTTTTTTAAAAAGATAACATAGTAGTGTGACAACATAATAGCAACCTGTTCAGTAAAGGAAACTCATAACCTCAAAGCCTGGGGGAACAAATACCGGTATATATTTATTATATGTATTTAATTTGTATCTCACTCCCCCTTGCTGATCACAGATCCATGACATTTTAATACTTAATAATAATAATAATAATAATAATACTTTATTGTTATACACCACCCATCTGGCTGGGTTTCCTCAGCCACTCTGGGCGGCTCCCAACAGAATACTAAAAACACAACAAAACATCAAACATTAAAAACTTCCCTAAACAGGGCTGCCTTCAGATGTCTTCTAAAAGTCAGGTAGTTGTTTCTTTCCTTGACATCTGATGGGAGGGCGTTCCACAGAGCGGGCGCCACTACCAAGAAGGCCCTCTGCCTGGTTAAAAAATGACTTAACCCTTTTTGCTAGGTTCCATTTTAAAAAAAATTATTATAACGCTATAACTATTTCACTGTTTTAATTCCCCCCTTTAAATTAGTGGAGTTGACTGTTAAAAAAACAAATAAACTGAAATGACTCCGATCACAAATGTTGTAGTGAATGTGTGTTCGGCCTCAGATTGTTCATGTGAAATGGACTTTCTCCATATTTTTCTTCTTCTTACCCATGTTTAGAGACCACAATAATAATAATAATTTATAATAATAATTTATTATTTATACCCCGCCCATCTGGCTGAGTTCCCTGCCCTCCCATCAGATGTCCCTGCCCACTCTGGGCGGCTCCCAATCAAGTGTTAAAAACAGTACAGCGTTAAATATTAAAAACTTCCCTGAACAGGGCTGCCTTCAGATGTCTTTTAAAGATAGGATAGCTGCTTATTTCCTTCACATCTGAAGGGAGGGTGTTCCACAGGGTGGGCGCCACTACCGAGAAGGCCCTCTGTCTGGTTCCCTGTAACCTCACTTCTCGCAATGAGGGAACTGACAGAAGGCCCTCGGTGCTGGACCTCAGTGTCCAGGCTGAGTGATGGGGATGGAGATGCTCCTTCAGGTATACAGGACCGAGCCTGTTTAGGGCTTTAAAGGTCAGCACCAACATTTTGAATTGTGCTCGGAAACGTACTGAGAGCCAATGCAGATCTCTCAGAACCGGTGTTATGTGGTCCCAGCGGCCACTCCCAGTCACCAGTTTAGTTGCCGCATTCTGGATTAATTGCAGTTTCCGGGTCACCTTCAAAGGTAGCCCCAATCACCTCCATGGGCCTATCTCCTGTGCAGGTGGTGATGACCACATTCCTAGGTACCTGACCTCCTAGGGAAGGGAGACATGGCCACCCCTCTTTTGTACGCCCCCTGCCATCCTCTAGCCCTAGCCTACAACAGCCCCTTGGTTGACCAGACTCTTAGCAAAATTCGTGGCTCCCCAGTAGGCCTTTTTCCTTGACTCCTCTGTCCCAGACTCATCAAATTTCTGCATAGCTCTTTGATACCCCATATGTCTTCTATGGGTAGCCACCTGCCTGTTTCTCTGGCCCAGAGCCTATGGCTATAACCGTGTGTCTTTCTCATTGCAGTCTGTTGGAATTCCAAAGCCTGCCAGATGAGACCCTTCCATCTGCTTGTACCGCCGTTTCTTACTGGGCTGCCAATCCTGCTTGACACGTTTACGTGGAAACTCCAGGCCCCGGCAGACACCCTCATAGAAATCAGGTCTCCAGCCTCGAAACTTAAGCAACATATCCCAAACCAGAATCAAGTATGCTCTGGGGGTTATAGTTACTCCATTAATGGCAGCGCCCCAGAAAAGGCGTTGCGACTCGGTGTCTTCTGCCCTGGTGGAGCTATTGAGAAAATTCAGATGAAAGACAACATCACTGTAATGCTTAAGACGTATGGCAGAAGGTGGATCAGTGAGACTCTGAAACCGAACCTCACATTGTTTTTTATGCCCGTTATTCAAGGTGAGTTTATTCTGTTTCGCTCCTTCTCTGCATTCAAAAAGTAAAGAAAGTTAAAATCTTGTATCAGCCCAGTGAAAGGCCCTTTCCCGAACTGATGTCAAATATCCCGAGGTTGAAATGTGGTTATTCTGGTTTTTTTGGGGTGTAATATCTGAGATCTAGTAAAATTTGGATTATGGCAAGGAAGTCTAGGTGTTGTCGTTCTAAAAGGGTTATATGGTTAAGGATCCACGAGCAAGAGAGGGAGCTTTCGTGGGGTCAAAGTCATCGCTGTGAATATATTTAAAATCCCACCAAAATTCACGTAGTTTGAGATTTCGGCAGACGTCAGCATGGATTTTGAAGCATTGTCTGCAATGATTGTGCCTAGACATTTTGGAAAATAATAGTAATTTAAAAAATCAGATTGCCATGAAACAAAGGGGTGCGATTTGGTAAAGACAGAAGAAAAAATACGGACAAATAATTACAACACGTAGCAGCAAGGATAAAGATCTTCACTTGTGGACTAATAAATTATAGCATGTATTAATACGAATAGAAGTCATAAATACTGCAGCTGTTGAATAACGGACTATTATTATGATTGGAATACAATTGGATTAAGTAAGACTTTGGAAGCAGAAATAATTTTTTTTTTATTAAACCTGTAATTCTAGCATGAGGGGGCCCCTCCAAAATTATACAATTGGATATTTGATTAATTTATATTTGATTTGGTATTGTGATTTGATATGAATATAATGGGGTGTATTTTGGATTTTTGTAATTGAAAACTAATAAAAATTAATTGGGGGGTGGCACAGAGAGAAACGAATGGTCTGGGAAAGGGGCATGGGTTAATTTATCAAAGGAGAGTTTAGCATGTCTGCTTGCAGACAGGTTTTGTGGCAGGGCGAACTTAGATCTTCCACAGCATGTTTCGCCGCAGCTCTAGGATGGCTGAAATAGAGAAGCAGGGAGAAGGGAACATGGAAGAGGAGAACAAGTTGGTTTTCTCCTGCTCTGGAGGGTAGGACTCGAACCGATTGCTTTGAGTTACAGGAAAGGAGATTCCGACTAAATATTGGGGGAAACTTTCTGACAGTAAGAGCTGTTCAACAGTAGAATGGTCTCCCTTAGAAGGTAGTGGACTCTCTTTCCTTGGAAGTTTTTAAGAAGAGGTTGGATGGCCATTTGTCACGGATGCTTTAGCTGAGATTTCTGTATTTCAAGGGATTGGTGTTCTGTACATAGTATGCTTAGTGCTAAAGTTTAGTCTTATCCAGGGTGGATAAAAATCATTGATTAAAAAAATAATAATCGGATTTAAAAAAAAATTAAATCTGATTTATTTTATTTAAATTGGATTTTTTGAAATTTAAATCGGATTTTAAAAATAAAATACTTTTGGAGGAAAAATCTTTCTAAAGATAGTTTTCTATTTAAGTTACATTATAGTCCAAAGGCTATTCATCAGGAAATAAGGATTTGTTTTAAATTTTTCATGTGTGCTAAAACTCTGTTGTTGTTTTTTAAAATTGTTTAATCACATCAGTTAACAAACATGGATACATATGCGATAATGTTATTGTTTTAGTTAAATAAATTGTTTAAATTGTTATTAAGGGAATGATTATTTTTCACCTTCCAATAAAGTACAGCAGAAAAGTTGTCCAAATAATTTCATAATTACCTGTCTTTGTATTTCTACTAGTATCACCAAATCAGAAATTTTTGATATAAATGTAAAAACTACTCTGAAAATTTATTATTCCAAAAACGAAACCTTCATCTGGTTGTAAATATTAAGATTATACCAGCAAGAATGAGTCTTTCTGTAAAAAAATGATTTAAATCAAGTCTTACTGACAAGTGATTTAAATCTATTCGATTTAAATCAAATCCACCTTTGTCTTATCATAAGTTAAGTAATTGTAAGTTAGTTAAGTCTGCTGCAACTGGATTTTCTTATGGACTGTGCCAATCCTGAATGTATTGGATTTGTGACCATTATGCTCATTTGCCTTCAGTAGCAGTAAAGCTCTGTACAATTGCCTCTGGTCTACTGTTTGGGAAATTCTGCTACGTGTTTAAGCTTTTCCTCCACACGTATGACATAGGTGACCAACTCTACAATTCTATGACTCTATGAGAAGTGATTCAGTGGGATGTGAAACCAGGCAGATTCCTTTGTGTACACAATTTTTTTTAGCACAGCTTAAATTGCAGGATCTGCATGTCTTAGAGATGGCCAAGCTTTCTTTCACAAAGGGTTTATTTTGTCTTGCACGGGGAAGTAAAGGGCAGCAATGACTTCGCACATTTGTTTTTTTGTGTGCTCCCGCAGAAGAGTGTGTATTCAGCGTTACCCCAGATCCGAAAACCGAAGTTTACCTGCAAACCCCTAACTGGCTGGAAGGTCTGCCTCCTTTCACGTCTGTGTATTGGAACATCACCGTCCCGGCAAAACAAGTTGCGCAGCTGTCGTTCCCAAAGGACCGTATGGGTGTTACTTGTGTACAGAGCCGGGCGAACATCTATATTCAGGAACAGAGACCAAATGCAGAAGAAACCGTGCGCCGCGAAGATCAGAAACTACCTAAAACTCTCGATCTGAAGCATCATTTCTGGGTAAACATCACTAACTGTAAGCCGGCGACCAATCAACAACTGAGCATGCAGTTCAGGGTGAAGTTTGTTCAGAAAAAAGCAGGTGAGGTACCACATGTTGTGCGTTGTTTCACAATAACCAAAGGGAGGTTCCGTCCTGACAATTGTTCATCTTTCAATTCTGTGTTCTTTTCCCATGAACCTACAGAGTTGAGGAAGAACTTTCTACCTGGTTTCAGTCACACAGGGGTTAATTTCCTGGGCTATAGACAGTACAACGGTACCTTGGTTCTCAAACTTAATCCGTTCCGGAAGTCCGTTCCAAAACCAAAGCGTTCCAAAACCAAGGTGCGCTTTCCCATAGAAAGTAACGCAAAATGGATGAATCCGTTCCAGACTTTTAAAAACAACCCCTAAAACAGCAATTTAACATGAATTTTACTATCTAACGAGACCATTGATCCATAAAATGAAAGCAATAATCAATGTACTGTGCCATAAAATAAATAAGACAGTGTTGTAGATGATAAAAATTAAAATTCCTTTTTTTTCTTACTTGCACTGACGATAGTCATTGTTTGGATGGGGGGCTTTTATCCATTTCCACAGTCACACAATCAATCAATCAGTAGCTGAACTGGGTTCCACACAGTCGCAGAAACAAATGAACTGAAAAAGCCTCAAAAACAAAAATGTGAAATAAATGGCAAAAATGAAAGCACAAAACTTAATCCGTTCCGGAACTCTGTTTGACTTCCAAAATGTTCAAAAACCAAGACGCAGCTTCTGATTGGTGCAGGCACCCTGGAAACAATAGCCGGCAACCACATTGAACACGCGGCTTCCGAAAAACATTCGGAAACCGGAACACTTACTTCCGGGTTTTTGGTGTTTGGGAACCAAGGCGTTTGAGAACCAAGGCACCACTGTAGTTCCTAGCTGTCAACATGGACTTCCTTCTCTTACGCACTTCTTCTACCTATGTTGAGCATCTTTTCAGCTGCTTTCAGCAAGCTTGTATCCCCCAGACCACTGGACCACTTCCCCTGCCAGCCCGCAAGGTGGGGGGGGGGCCTACAAGGATTTGGGAAGGAGGTGTATGTGGGACTCTGTCAGCTCCCAGGGCCCTCGCACAACCTTCCCAGAGCCCTTTAAGCGAGGAAAACCTGTTGGGTGTAAGGTGTAAGGTGCAAGTTTACCTGTGCTTCATTTGTTACCATAAACTGTTAACTTTGTGTAAAATGGGATGGAGCTATCAGAGGACTCTGCTGTATTAGTAAAGAAACAGCGAATGGAACACGCTATAAACATGCAACACCAGATGGCGCCCGAGAGCAGGAAATTTTAGAACCCCGTTTTACATAGAGATTTTTTTCTTATGTTGAAACGATCTCATTTCTGTCTTATTTATGGCGTTTCCCTTGTGTTTATATCCACCCAAACAAAGTTCATATTTTCATGGCGCAACCATGGCAGAAATGTTCAGGGCTGCTTTTAGTGAAACTCCCCGTTGAAACATGGCAACTACCTGTGAACATTGCATATAGAAGGGAATAACTCTTCGCTTTTTTAGTGTATAAATATTCATGGTGCTGAAGAAATCTGGAACATATTTCCTGTCACAGCTGAACTTTTAAATGAGGCTAGATAGTCATAGCAGTTGAGAGATTATATTATCTAAATTTCTTTTTCTATTCTATTTGGGATGTCATACGTGGGAACATTTTTTAAAAGAGAGAACATCTTGTGCATGACTCTTTTGCAGTTGCGTAACTTCTTGTGATTTCCCACCACTTCTATTTCTCTCTTCCCCTTCCCACCATCCAGCTGTTAACTACTGGACGGACCGTCTTGCATTTGTTGAAATTCTCCTGATTTACAAGTTGCTGTGTATTTCCTCCCCCTGCCTTCCCCCAGTGTGTGTACTAAATTGCAATAAAAAGGTAAAGGGACCCCTGACCATTAGGTCCAGTCGTGGCCAACTCTGGGGTTGCGGCGCTCATCTCGCTTTATTGGCCGAGGGAGCCGGCGTACAGCTTCCGGGTCATGTGGCCAGCATGACTAAGCCGCTTCTGGCAAACCAGAGCAGTGCACGGAAACGCCGTTTACCTTCCCGCTGAAGCGGTACCTATTTATCTACTTGCACTTTGACGTGCTTTCGAACTGCTAGGTGGGCAGGAGCAGGGACCGAGCAACGGGAGCTCACCCCATTGCGGGGATTCGAACTGCCGACCTTCTGATCGGCAAGTCCTAGGCTCTGTGGTTTAACCCACAGCGCCACCCACGTCCCTGCTAAATTGCAATATATGGATTTTAGATTGTAAATCTCTCCCAAGTGTTAAATGCATGGCATGAAAGTTTAGTCAGGAGAGAACCCCGCAGCTTAACCCCTTCCCTTCCAGACCCCCTTCTATCTCTCTTCTTTTGTTCCTTTGGATTGTGTGTCTATGTGCACACGCTCATAAAAATCTGGAATGTTTCAGAAGCGAGCGAATGCAGTGACTCTGAATCAGGACAAGATGAGCCACCTCTCCGACTGTTTATCACTGAATGTCTCACTTTAACTTTTTGCAGGTTTGGCAGTCATAATTGGCGTTGTGATTGGCGGACTCGCACTGCTATCAACTATCGGGCTTGCCATATTCTGCACTAAGAGGAAGAAGTAGGTATCTCTTGTTCTCAGAGGTTTTCGGCGCAGATTAAAATGTCCCATTTTTTGCCAGAGGCAGACCCAGGTTTTAACAAAGTATTGCAGGCTCCAAACCAGGGAACCCTGAATGTTATTCCTTTGTGAAGCCTTGAACGTGCTTTGATCTCTTCCTACTTAAGATGTGACCTGAGCTGTTAGAACTTGCTGTGCCGATGGCATCGGGGCAGAAATCGCAGCAGGAAATTTGTCGTCCTGGCACACACACTGGCTGCGTGTTAACAGGCGCAAGAGCTCTATTTGCACACCTTAAGGCAGGAATGGGCCACCTGTGGCCTAACATAAAGTGCCCTCTGTAAGCAATCAGTTCAGACCCCTGGCAGCCTCCCCCAGAAGTCCGTTTTGTAGCAGGAGGTGACTAGCAATGATTTTTAAGGCTGAATTCTAACTGGTCCTCTTGAAGGACAAGTTCTCTCCCTGAGATTTATTTCTTAGTGCTTGAAAACTTGCCAAAACTGTTCCAACTTCTCTCTCCCAGTAATGCCTGCTTGTTATGAATCATTTCTTCTAAAAGTAAATTTTTCCCTCATTCCCTGGTTTAAGGGGACTACAATTTAATATAGACGGTTGGTTGAACTTGATGGTTTCCACCACAGACTTCTTGACCTCTCTTCATACAAGTTTCCTTTTACCAACAAATGCCACCCCCCCCAAAGCAACCCCCTTGGCTGTCTCGGTCAGAATACAGTCAGGAAGGGAGAGACCCAAGTTTCCCAATTCTCTTCTGCTTGTGGAAGTCACATCGTGATGAAGCAGTAGTGACTGTGATTCATGTCTGTAGTTTGCCCCCATTCAGAGGCACTTGGGCCAATGTCACGAAGACTTTAGCCTGTATGAACTCTTAGAGTTCTGAATCACGTTTATTTTTAAGATGTGTATGTCTTCCCATACTATGTGAACGGGGAGACATATAAAGTGAAGTTACACCAGAGGAAATGCTAAAATTCGGGTGTTATCTGACAGCAGCGTTTTTGCAGGGTGGCTATTTCACATGGTTCCCTTTGTGAAAATAAAGTGGGAAATTCAACGCTCCATCTTGAGATATGTTAGGCTGGTGGCCATGCAGCCCAAGGCCTTCTTAGCACAGCCCCCATAACTGTAAAACTCCTTCCCTGTTAAGTTTGATTGTAGCTGTTTTTATTCCACAAAGCTACAGATCAAAAGAATCTTTAATTGCATCAGTCACTAGCCATACCAATAAAATAAAATAAAATAAAATGCACTAAAGATAGGGGTAAAGGCTATGCAAAATGCATTCTAGAGGTTTACATCAATAATCAAATAACAGATCTTATCCTAATTGCACCTGCTAAACAATTTGCAGTTTTTGCTGTCAGCTGGTTATCTTCAAGTTCAATTCCTCTCCCTTTGGCTGTTTTTATTCCATGAAGCTTCTGGGCCAAATTGAGTGTTTTATACTTGCTGTTGTCTTTGTTAATATAGTCATACCTTGGATCCTGAACGCCTTGGTACTCAGACATTTTGGCTCCTGAACGCCGCAAACCCGGAAGTGAGTGTTCTGGTTTGCGAATGTTCTTTGGAACCCGAACATCCGACAGGACTTCCGATTGGCTGCAGGAGCTCTTTTTGGGTGGCCGGGCAGAGAATGCAAGTTTATTTTTAACGTTTCTTGCTTTGTTTCTTCTTCCCCCCAGAAAAAAACAGGAAAACCAGACTCCAGCCATAGGAGTGTATAACGGTAACGTCAACACCCAGTTGCCTGGAAAGCAGGGCATATTCAAAAAGAGGAAAAAGAACGAGTCTCATATCTATGCAGTTATTGATGACACCATGGTTTATGGGCACTTGCTGGACGACTCTATGAAACCAGAAAATGCCGAAATAGGCGTGTACCAACCTTTTACCGGGCCAGTGAGTACGGCCCCTTCGCCGCCTCCGATCAGGAAAATATCCAAAGTGCCCAGCATGGAGGAATCCTCTTTCACGATATTGACTGACAGTGAGATCTATACCTTTGCACAACGCAAACCAGAAGAACTCCAGGCCAATGGTGACGTGACTTCGAGTGGTAATGGAAATGTCGGCCAGTCCTTGCTTGAGGAAAACGAACAGGAAAATTCAGAGCTCTAATGTTTATGCGACGGTTCAGATAAACGAAATCTTGCACCCATTTTCCCTTGATTTACCTTTTTCAAAAAGAAAAAAGAAAACAAAATACTTTGGTTGCTGCAACTCTGTTCCGGTTTTCGAATGAACGTGCTCAGACAATGTATTTCCGTAGCATGTTTTGCAGGGATACAAGTAACTTTGAACATGGAAAAGGACAGCAAAGTGTTTTTTAAAAGGCAAGAAAGATGGCACATTGGAGCTTAAACAAAGCTGGAGAACTAGGTTGCCAAAAGTATCTTCCTTCCTGTGTTTCTTGTGCAGATTTCAGCCCATACTACAGAATAAAAAATGCAGGTGTGCAGAATGGCATAGTCTGAAGATGGTTTTTTCACACAGTAGCCTTGTCATAGGAATATGACTTTTATTATTCACATGGATTCACTTCCTTGGATATGACGAGGATTACACCAGTCCTTGAACGGACAATGCCTACAACAACTGAACAGCAAAAGTTATTGTGCTATTTGTGAAAAAGTATTCTACTTCTCTTTTCAGTCAGTTGTATGGTGTGTGTGTGTATATATAGTTCAGGACATTTCATTTTCTTTCTTTTTTCATCTATAATTTTGTTGTGATTGTCCTCCAGTGATGTTTTTAAAACTAAGACCAGTGTGTCGTCCAGGTTCTTTTTTATTTTTATTTAAATAAAAACAATTATTTAATTTTTATTCATGCATATAACATAGCAGTTTCCACTTTGCCAGCAAATATGCAAATGATATAATATTGCCAAAGTTCCTGTGCAAAGAAATGATTAGTTCAGCACGAATGAGGCTGCTAATCTGCGCAACCCTTATGGTGCAAAAACGATAGACTTCAGTGTAAAAAATTCAAAATTATTTATGGGCTTGACCTTGATGGATGTTTGAACAATGTTATGCTCTGAAGACACGTGAAAGTATGCAACTTTTATGCATATGTGCAACCAGTGGCTAAGTCCTTGCCTTCAAATATATAAGAACAAGGAAGACAACAATGCCATTTTCATGGCCTGTACGATTCTGGTTTTTGGCAAAATAAATTGCCCCAAGCCTATGTATTCAAGTGCCTAAATTTGTGGGTAGGTGAGCCGCTTTGTGGAACATAAATAATTTTTGCACACTGTGCTAGACTTCCAGAGAGGCGCCAGCTGGCTTAGTGTGAATTAACTCTTGCAAAGTGACGATTAAACAGAATGCAAGTTAGGAAAGGATGGAAGGGGAAAGTTTGCATTTTTTTTGATGACATAACACTATGTCACTTGACTGAATACGATTGCAGTACGCAGGCTTCACTCAGAAATACTCAGTAGTTAATACAGTGTGGGGAAACATTTCTACTGGGCTTTGTGGCAGCTACTTGACATTAGCATTTCATCTTTGTACATAAGTGTTTGACTGTTGCGCAAGGCCTCTTGCAGAACTCCCATTTACCTCAGCAGTTCTTGAGCAAGGGCTGCTTCTGGCAGCGTGTGTCTGTGGGCGTGGGCGTGTATCACACGCAGAGTTTTAACTAGTCACAGAAAAAGGATAATAGTTAAAATCCAGAAGGCTGTTTGGTGATGTTGTGCGAGAGCAGTGGGGCTTCCTAGGGCTTCCTTCCCCAAAGAAGCTGCCTTAACAAGTTCAAGTTGCTCCTGGGACTCAGGTGAAATATCAGCAGTGACTTCTGTGCTGGCAAAAACGAGCAGCGCCTTGTAGTTTTACAAAGAACTTTTCTGGATTCCTTCCAAGTAATGCATTCAGCAAATTTTGTGCCACCATATAAATTTGTACCACCCAGTTCTTTTCACTCTGTCGTTTAAATGAGTATAAGTTGAAGCCAGTAACTCCAGTTTCCATCATTAGCATTTAATTTTCACATCAATAGTACTTCTAGTCTGTGTATTGGCTCTCATCACTTAAATTACATACAGTAGTCAGGATTTCTTTTTGCAGTTCATTCTGTGGTCTGTGTGAAATATCTTGGCCTCGTGTTCACTGTTGGGCATCTCCCATTGCACGGTTGTGAAATGGATGAGGCTTGGGTCTCCGTAAACATCATTTTTGTATGCATATATCATACGAATTTGTCCTGGAAGGTTGGGCCTATTTTATAAATGGGAAAGTATGTTATGACACTGGGCATTGTCTTGCTAAAGTTGTGTAAAACCTCGTTTCCTGGCAGTATGACTGTTTCTAAAATAATTTCCACCCCCCCCTCAGAGTTGTATTTCTTGTAGCCTCTGTGAATGCAGAACACTATGCAATAAAACCTTCATGAGAATTGCAGGCACAGACTGGGGTTGCATAATTATCCCCCAAGTTATTTGTTTTGATGCCACTATTTCTATATGCCCCTCAATAACTTATTCACTGTATAGTCCTCTTTTTTTAATGCTGCATTTAAAGTGTTGTCTTACAAGATGCTGTCATTGTAAATATTTGTGACACCTTTGTACCTCACTGAAATCCACAGTGTTCCTGTGCCACAGTCTTAAAATGCTGTAATTTTTTAATTCCAGGCTGTTTGTTTTTTTTTAAATAAAATAAAAATTCATTTTCTGTGTTTAATGGAGAGGGACATGTTGATGCAAAGGGGCTTTTTTTACATGTCTGAGTTCTTCAAAACTGAAATAAAATGGTGTTTACAGTTAACCGCTGCTTACCTGCATCTTAAGTAACTACTGTACTTAACAGAAAGGCTTTTTTTAAAAACTCCCTTTTTTGGTTTGCTGGTGGCCCCAGATTGGCAGGAATTGTGCTCAAAATGGCATCATTCTAGTGCTGCTTTATGTGAGTGTAATTGGTTATGAATCATTGGTGAAAAAACAGGAATGACAGTGTACTGTTAACCGGTATCCTCCCTTCTGACAGGACCATTTCTGCTTAGGGGCCAGCAGTGTTCGAAACTCCCATTGTTCTAGGCGCATTTTGTGACAAGGAAATTCATTAGTGCAAGCAGATTTTGAGCTCTGGGCGCCTAAGATTTCAGATTAAAAAACTGCAGAGTGGAAGGAAAGGAGGACCTTTTTCTGCCTCCCCACTTCCAGCCACACTCTGAAGACTGGAGAAGAGACCCTCTTAAGAATATTAGGGGGGTGGGCAGGGGAAGGACTAGACCATATGAAAAATGAACATAATATTTTAGCTGTAGTTAATTCATTTTCAGCGCTGTATTCTTCTTCTAAAAAAGCGCGCCTAGACATTCCATTGTTGCACCCATAACCTCGGTTTCAGGTGCCATTTAGCTCCTATCTTTCATAGCTCAATTTCTAACAGTGGGAGCCAGATAGCTATAATTCCTGCCCTCCCAGAATTCCGTTTTTATTTTCCAACTGACCGTCCCATGGCTTCTAAGCAACCTCAGGCCTCATGCAATTTTCCCCCTAGGATGTGTGTTCATGTTACCACCTTAGATTTGCATTTAAGACCCTTTTCCTAGTTTTGCTGATTCCTCTCTTGTTTCACAGTGGCCCTGTTATGTTTTCACCTGCTTGCTTATTCAATGTCAAATTCTTACCTGTAAAGCAAACTGAAAAGTATCTATGAATATATTGGTCTTTCCTGAACAGAACCATTCTTCTCCTTGACATCTGAGAGGAAATTAGTCAGTAAAGGTGAAGAAAACCTCATTGTTAGTAATTCAGGTGAGCAAGGATCCACCTTCAATTGCAGGTGCTCCAGAATCTAGCAGTCATCCAGTGGGTGATAGTCAACTAGGTTTTACTCAAAAGTAGGCCCACTGAAATTAATAAACATGACTGAGGCCAGGGTGTACCAACTCAGAGGCACCGTCTTGCACCCAAGATTTGGGGGGCAGCGGCACATGTTTTGTGCGCGTCATATCGCATCATTGGGCGATGCGCCCTCGATGATGTGACGTCATGCGTATGACATCACACACACATGGCTTGCATCGCCGGGAGGAGGCTTCCTCAGGACGAAACAGCCATTGAACTGCACTGTGCTTGGCCCCTTCTGCCCGTTCAACATCAAGGGGGCCCAGCCCCCTGCCAGTAAATATTTAGGGGGCTGAAGACCTCTCCACCCCTAGGAGTTCACTGGTGTTCAAAGTCCAAGTGCGCATGTCATTCCATACCCAAACTCCATAGGTATTCTGTACCGTCTTGAGAAATACTCCTATTTGATGCATTTTCCCCACAAAGCAGGTTCCATCTGATTTGAAAATGGAAGCCTCGGCCCAGTATATCTGAAGGAGCGTTTCCACCCCCATCATTCTGACCGGACACTGAGGTCCAGTGCCGAGGGCCTTCTGGCGGTTCCCTCACTGCGAGAAGCAAAGCTACAGGGCCTTCTTGGTAGTGGCACCCGCCCTGTGGAACGCCCTCCCATCAGATGTCAAAGAGATAAACAACTACCTGACTTTTAGAAAACATCTAAAACTTCAGGGAAGGTTTTAATGTGTGACATTTTTAATCTTTGTTGCAAGCTGCCCAGAGTGGCTGGGGGGGCCTAGCCAGGTGGGCGGGGTACAAATAATAATAATAATAATAATAATAATAATAGAATTTTAGAGTTGGAAGGGACCCGAGGGTCATCTAGCCCAACCCCCAGCAATGCAGGAATTCTGCCACCAACCATCCCTGGGCGGCCTCAAACCACCAACCTTCTTGTTAGCAGCCAAGACACACTGAGCCTTAAACTGAGATGTGTACATTTCAGGCTACTGTTGTCCATGTGCAGACACAGGTTAGGTCTGGGGAAGAAAGACATTCCTGCCACTTCTCTGGTCTGTACAGCCAGTGCTTTTTTTCCTTAAAAAGAAATGTTTAGGGGTACTCTCATTTTCCTACTCATATTGAAATATTGCCCTTCAATGAGGCCAAACTTAGATTCACAAAATGTTTAGGGGTATGCCTACCTGAGTCCCCTCCCAGAAAAAAAAAAGCACCATGTACAGCAATGTACCCCTGAGGGTGAAAGAGGAGAGCGCAAAATATGGTCTGAAGCTCAACATCAAAAAAACAAAGATCATGGCCACTGGTCCCATCACCTCCTGGCAAATAGAAGGGGAAGAAATGGAGGCAGTGAGAGATTTTACTTTCTTGGGCTCCATGATCACTGCAGATGGTGACAGCAGCCACGAAATTAAAAAACGCCTGCTTCTTGGGAGAAAAGCAATGACAAACCTAGACAGCATCTTAAAAAGCAGAGACATCACCTTGCCGACGAAGGTCCGTATAATTAAAGCTATGGTTTTCCCAGTCGTGATGTATGGAAGTGAGAGCTGGACCATAAAGAAGGCTGATCGCCAAAGAATTGATTCTTTTGAATTAAGGTGCTGGAGGAGACTCTTGAGAGTCCCATGGACTGCAAGAAGATCAAACCATTCCATTCTGAAGGAAATCAGCCCTGAGTGCTCACTGGAAGGACAGATCCTGAAGCTGAGACTCCAATACTTTGGCCACCTCATGAGAAAAGAGGACTCCCTGGAAAAGACTCTGGTGTTGGGAAAGATTGAGGGCACAACAGAGGACGAGATGGCCGGACAGTGTTCTCGAAGCTACCAGCATGAGTTTGACCAACCTGTGGGAGGCAGTGGAAGACAGGAGTGCCTGGCGTGCTCTGGTCCATGGGGTCACGAAGAGTCGGACACAACTAAACGACTAAACAACAACAACAGCAATGTAAGAATGCGACTTGTAACGCAGCAGAGGATAGTGACCTTGCTGTGTTTCAAGCTGCCCATGTGAATTTCAGTAGATCTACTCAAAGTAAAAGTTAGCTAACTACCACCGTAGGTAACCTGGAAACGCCTAGTGTGTTCTTTAAAAATCCAGGCACATTCCTTTGACTTCTGTGACACATTCTTCCTCATACTGCTCTGTCTGCACCTGCTTGCTTGTGATTTAAATAACCTTGATGAATCAGACCCCATTCAACATCAACAAAGATTCTGATGAAGGCAAGGAATCACATTCCTTACCAGAGATTTAATGCATGCTTGTTAGGGCAAGCTGCGTGGTCCACCGTGACAATCCTAAAAGGAATAATAAATGAAAGCTGATTTTTAAGTTACTGATGGCTGCTTTTTCTTTTTTTAAAAAAAGAGGTGCCAGTTCTTTTTTCCATCATATGTATACTCTATTGGCTACTAACTCCCAGAATTACATGATTAATGCCCAATTAAGGACTTGAGGCTAGACATAGGATAGCTCATCTTCATTAATAGCTGTGTGAATAATGGCATTAATCATACATTTTTGTACACTTGTGGAAAACGAGCCTGTCTCTCCTCATGCTCATGCCTGAAATTCAGACACTGGAAATCACCACAAAGATTAACTCTGTCGGTGAAGGGGTTCCTCCTCCTTCTCCTGCGTGTGAAGGGGGCACCCTGTTGCCACAGTTCAATAAAGATCAGGCTTACGAGCTGCTTTGCTTCTCAATATTCTCTGGTTGGCCTCTGTTATTTTCTCCGACCAATGGAGAACCTGCAAAGGACTCTATTAGGGCACTTGTGTCCCCCATAAGGGAATAAGGGCAGATTTTCGTTTATTACACTACATACTAAGGGTGAGTTGTCTTTGGTTTGGCTGGCACGGCCGGTTTACTCCCAAAAATTCACTCTCAGAAGTTCACTCCCCAAGGCCTCCACCAAGTGTCCTTTATGAACAAAAGGGAGCTTTTGTGAGCCAAGGGTTTTAACAAAACTTCAGTGTCTCATTCAAAAGGCTCTCTTACAGACCCCCAGATCCCCCTAGTGCAAGCATGTACAAAGTCTGTTTCAGGGGCCTAATCTGGCCTACCAGTCAGTTTAATCCGGCCCCTGTGGGAGTTTGTTTACTGGGGTAAAATCCTAAAAAAAACCCTCAACAACTTCAATCCTAAAGAAAGGTCAACAACAACTTTGGGTGGCCCTTTGGATGGCCCCCACGGCCCTTCACTTCATCAAATCTGGCCCTTTTTGAAAACAGTTTGGACACCACTGCCCTAGTGCCTCAAGAGGACCTTAAAAAAAAAAATCAAAATTCTTAAGAAGACATTGCCTGCAGCTTGCAAACTTCAGACTGACTGGAACTGGCTGCAAATTATAACATAGACATTGGAGATTTGTGGGGTCAGGGTGGGATCCTGCCATCCTCCACTCTCCTCTCCCAATTGCCCTTTGTCTCCAGGGCTCGCTCCTGTGAAAACGCCAGGGCCACAGGAATAAGATTCTGTGTTTGTGGGTTCATGGGTGTTTTGAAAGCAAGTGTTCTGTTGCCATCCTCATTCGCAGATACTACAAACTGCTGGCCTGTTTTCAAAACCAAGCGTATTCATAGGACAACCTCCGCTTACTTCTCTGTTCTGTCTGTGGTTGGAACAACAGTGACTCCTTGTGGAAATGCTCAGCAGTTAATAGGATTTTTAGATTTTTCTGCATGCATATTGTGCTGGCTTTCAAGTACAGTGGAACCACGGTTGTCGAACGCTTCGGAAGCCAAACAATTCAGAACCCAAATGCCTACAACCCGAAAGTGAATGCTTCCATTTTCAAACGATTTTTGGAAACCAAACGGCTTCCGAGGCGCATTTTTCATTTTTTCCCATTGACTTTGCAGTCGGCCCATCGAGCCTCTGTTTTTGAACTATTCGGAAACCGAATGGTCTTCCGGAACGGATTAAGTTTGAAAACTGAGGTTCCACTG